CCTTAGGTCCAAGAATCCAAGGTTAATTAAAAAAAACACTTATTAATTTTTTTTGAGTTTACAAAGTGCCTTTATATTCTTTCTTTTAATTCCTGCAATAACTATGGATAATAAGCACCATGCTCAACATAGTATAAAATATACATTATGTACATAATTGAGGGTAGGATATACATTATCATTGGAACTCTGTCTCTTACCTCTGTTTCTGTATACATATTGACTTTCTTCTTTGAAATAAGCTTTCTCCAGCAGCAGTGTCCTTCCCTCAGCACTAGTTTGAAAATTACTATAGCAAGACTTTGGCCCTGCTTACACCAAATGTTCATACTAATACACTACTAATCACACTACTAGTCACTATTAATCACTGTGTCTTGGAAGGGCAGGGTCGTGTAGGGAGAGAGTTCTCAATTGAAACCAATGTTTAGAATAATAGGAGGGGGAGTAGTAGCTTCTCAAATTAAGGGAGAGGGTAACAGACATGGCTGCCTGGAGAAATTGTGAGTTGGACAAACATCCTAATTTGTGTCTATTTATATTCATTTGCTTATTGATTTCAGATTATGCTCTTATCATTCATCTGTTAGTGAATATCACATTCAGCTCTCTTTTCCTTGCTCTAGTTCTCATTTCCATTTGATGCTTTATGTTTTATCACCATCTCAAAGTGAATTTTAAAAATCCCAAGTTTTGAGTGTCATTTCCCCAAGAGTCTAGGTTTTATACTTCAGTAAAAGTTACCCTTTTTAAAAAAATAGACTTCATTTTTTAGAGTGGTTATAAGTTCACAAAAAAAGGAGCAGGAAGTACAGAGTTCCCATAAACTCCTTGCTCCCACAATATCTTATTTTTTATTTTATAGCTTTGTCCAATTACTAATATTGCAACATGCCTGGAATATGATTGTATTTGAAACATTTTTCATGTTTTGCTTTATCATGCTTTTTCCCAGAAAAATTAAACAGGTTTATTTGTAATTGTTATAAAATTGAATTGCTGAACCTTGTTCACCGAAACATTCTGACTTGCATTAATGCTTTATTTCCCCACATTTATATTAAAAATTCACACACAAATGAAAATGGAAAAACTGCCAATACCTGATTTCTGTCCCTGGTGTTTCCACTTGCAGTCATATACTTAGGTACCTTTTGATCTCATGGGGAAAAGAAAAATCTAACGTTCAGAACTACCAATAACAGGAAGAATATATATATATATATATATATATATATATATATAGAGAGAGAGAGAGAGAGAGAAATGTTTCCCATCATAGTGGATTCTTTTTTTTTTTTCAGATTATGGGGGTACAAACATTTTGGTTACATGTAATGCCTTTGCCAGGGCTACAAGTGTGCCCTTCCCCCATACAGTGCGCTCCACCTCCATTAGTTGTGGGTTTACACCCCCCCACCTGACCTGACCAGCACCCAGTGAGTATTACTACCATGTGAGCACCTTAGTGTTAATAAGTTAGTACCAATTTGATGGCGAGCACATGTGGTGCTTGTTTTTCCATTCTTGGGATACCTCACTTCAAAGGATGGGCTCCAGTTCTATCCAGGATAATATAAGAGGTGCTAGTTCACTATTGTTTTTTATAGTTGAATAGTATTCCATGGTATACATATACCACATTTTATTAATCTACTCATGTGTTGATGGACACTTGGGTTATTTCCACATCTTTGCAATTGTGAATTGTGCTGTGATAAACATTCTAGTGCAGATGTCTTTATTATAGAATGCCTTTTTTTCCTTGGGGTAGATGCCTAGTAGTGGGATTGCTGGATCAAATGGTATTTCTATTTTTAGGTTTTTGAGATATCTCCAAATTACTTTCCACAAGGGTTGTACTAATTTGCAGTCCCGCCAGCAGTGTAAGAGTGTTGCAATCTCTCCACATCCACGCCAGCATTTGTTGTTTTGGGACTTTTTGATAAACGCCATTGTCACTATAGTTAGGTGATATCTCATTGTGGTTTTGATTTGCATTTCCCAGATGATTAGAGATGTTGAGCATTGTTGTATGTTTGCTGGTCATTATTCTGTCTTCTTCATAGTGGATTCTTAAGCTCGTTCTTTACATATGTGACGTGCTAGCTGGTTGTCTTTTGGCATAATTGTTACACATTTGGCATGGATAGCATATGGGTGGGTGTCTTCAAAAAGGCCAACCAGATAAGCCTCACCTGCCTCCTGGAAAGCACCAACAGGTGTGCTCTGGAAGTCCAGACCTGTGTGGAAGTTGAGAGCAATTTCATGCACCAGATGCTGGGAAACAACTTTGTAAATCAGAAGTTCAGTGGACTTCTGACAACGTCTAATTTCATTGAGTGCCAGGCCACCAGCCCTGTAGCCATGAGGTTTCTTCACCCCTCCAGTAGAGGGCGCACTCTTGCCAGCGGCTTTTGTAGCCAATTGCTTCCTGGGTGCTTTACCGCCGGTGGACTGGCCAGCAGTCTACTTTCCACAAGCCCAGTGGTCGTTTACCCCTCTGCTCTTTGGCTGGAGCTTGGCGACCTAGAGGCAAGCTGGTGGTGTCCCGCTCCATGCGTATTTGTCATCAAGCCCTCAAGCCCAGGTTTGGGGTGCCAAGAGAGACATGGGGGTGGAGAGGAGCAGAATAGGTGCTGTGGGTGAACTCCCAGCCTGTGGGCATCTCAGGCCACAGGAAGGGGCTTATTCAGCTTTAATCCACCATCTTGAGGCTGATGACTCCTGACTCTACTACCGTGTTTCCCCGGAAATAAGACCTACCCATAAAATAAGCCCTAGCAGGATTTCTAAGCATTAGTGCAGCATAAGCCCTACCCTGAAAATAAGACCTAGTGATGGGCGTGGCTATGCAGCATATCTGTACAGCCCATGCATTTCGTTGAGGAACGGTAAAGAAGACGAGCAGCCCTTCTCATCTGCCCCATGAGAGCTCTGTTGCTGGACATGAGAGATTGGGGCCAATGGTTCTAAAGGAAATAGAGTCGCAAGAAATTCAGGATGGAATTCTGGGTTTGGAGAGTTATGATGATGTTCTAGAAGAAGATGACTTAACTATATTTGAATAAATGTAGATTGTTGTACCGTACTTAAAAAAAAATAACATATCCCCTGAAAATAAGCCCTAGGGTGTCTTCTTGAGGAAAAATAAATATAAGACCCTGTCTTATTTGCGGGGAAACAGGGTAGGTTTCCTTCCCGCCTTGTGCATACAGCAGCCCGACGGATGTAATTTGGATGTCTGCTGACCCTTCCAACCCTACATGTCTATGAAGTCTAGGAATGGGAATCAGAATCTTATCACTCTCTATACAACCGGCTTGTCTTTTTTTACTTCCCATCTCTGTGAAGGTTATACCATTCACCCTGCTATCATTGCTCCACTTCATCTCATCATTCCTGGCTTGGGTTACTGTAACAGCCTTCTAGGTCCTCTGCTTATATTCTTGTTCAAATCGAGTTCTTTTCCCAAGCTTCAGTGATCCTTTTAAAATGCAACTCTGACCTTGTTCTGCTGCTCAAACCCTCTTTGAGGCTTCCCTTACCTCCAGGAAAAAAACTCCAAGATATTAACTGGTGTGGTCCCTGCCCATCTTTCCAAAACCATCTCCCATTGTCCCCCAGCACCATTTTCCCTCCAGATTTCTTGACTGGGACTTCTTCAAGAGGTAGGGTAGTTTAGCGATTAAGAGCACAGACTTAGGTGCAAATCAAGGCTTCCCCAGCTAGGACAGGTTGTACTTAAACTCTCTGAGTCTCACTTCTTTATTTGTAAAAGGGGGTAACCTAACTCCTTCCTAGGATTATTATGAAAAGGAACTACGATAATGTTGGCAAAATGCTTGGCATAGAGTAAGCATTTAGTAGACAGTGATGTCTTGTTAACATCTGGCCATGTCCTTATTCCATTCCTCACTCATTTTGCATAGTGCCCTCCTTCTTTGACTTTTGAATTCTTCTATGTAGCGATTACTTTTAACTGCCTACTATGTGCCTGCATTCTTCTAGAAGCTGAGGGAATCATTGGTGAAGTGGAACGACTTTCTGATCCAATTAATTCCTCTCTATGCTTCAATTCTTGTCTATGCTTACCTTTTTTACCTTCCTAAGGACTAGGCTTTGTGTTATCATTTCTTCTTGAATATTATTGTAATTCCTTTGTTTCCATTATCAATTTATCATGCTAAAGAGTTACTGATTACTAATGGACTCTGCTGTTGGACTGTTGTGTAGGGACTGTATTTTATCAATTAGTGTACATTCAATGCCTAACAGTGTTTGATAATCGTTCATTTAAATACTTAGTGTGCACACACAGATGTTCAGTGGCTGTTTCTTGGATGAAAATAAAAATATCCCATATATAGTTTTATTTCATTGTTTAGTATAAGTACACAGTATTTCAGTTCCCTTTGGCTTTTAGGGCTATCCTAGTAAACTGCCTCCTAATTCTACTTGTTTTTACAGGAAATAAGTGACATTTGAATTCAAATAACAAACTTTAAAATGAAGCTTTGGAGTTTAATTCTTTGTAACATGGGATCTACTTTTCTAGTGTGAGAAAATTCCATGCCAGGAGCATTGCAAGGATATGACCTGATAACCTTACATTATTTTTATTTTTGTTTCCATGTTTTAAGATTTTATCAAAATCCATTTTTAAAGTGCTGGCCTTTTACTGGCTTTTATGACTTTTTTTCAGAATATTATGGGGACACAAACGTTTTGGTTACATGAATTGCTTTTGTACAGTTTGAGTCAGAGTCATAAGTGTGCCCATTACCCAGATGGTGTGCGTTTGTACCAGTTAGGTGTGAATTTACCCATCCCCTCCTCCCCCACTTGATTTCCATTGACTTTTACTTCCATATATGCACATAAGTGCTGGTCAATTAGTTCTAATTTAATAGTAAAGTTTATATGTTTCAATTACATATTTTCTGCTATGTGCTCATTGAGTGCTTGTTTTGACAATTTTTTTCCCATTCTTTCTACAGGCTTCCTTCCCTGGAAACCTGCATTTGGTTTTGGTTTTACGTCCTACCAGTTTTCTTCAACGAACTTTCACAGACATTGGATTTCGATTCAGTCAAGAGGATTTCATGCTCAAATTACCAGTAAGAGTATATTATTTAAATGCTTTGTCCCTTTAATTCTCATGAAGACTTCATGCCATGCTGTTTAAATTTTACATGTGCCCATGTAGCATTTAAAAGAAAAAAATAAAATTTGTCTTTAAAAATGTAGATTTGAAATGCTTAAGTTTCTACTTCTGTTTAAAAAAGGTATAGATTCATTAATATATTACAGAGCAACTCCCTTTGAAAAAGATGTATGTCATGTGTTATATGTATGTGCATATATATATGTATGCATGTGTATATGTATGTATGTGTATATAATCAGGACATTTTAGTAAAAATGAGCATGTGTTTTATGTATTTGGATTCCCATGAACTTACATCCTGAGCTACTTCAGAATACCATGTTATTTTTTTATTTTTTAATTTATTTTTTATTTTTATTTTTATTTTTTTTGAGACAGAGTCTCACTGATGTCCTGGGTAGAATGCAGTGGTGTCATTGTAACTCACTGCAACCTCAAACTCCTGGGTTCAAGCGATCCTCCTGCCTCAGCCTCCCAAGTAGCTGGGACTACAGGCATGTACCACAATGCCTAGCTAATTTTTCTATTTTTAGTAGAGACGGAGTCTTGCTCTTGCTCAGGCTGGTCTAGAACTCCTGAGCTCAAGTGATCCTCCTGCCTTGGCCTCCCAGAGTGCTAGGATCATAGGCATGAGCCACAGTGACCAGCTCTCTTTTTTTGTGAAAGCTGTTTTTATATGTGATTAGGGTTGGGAATAGAGTAACTCATAAATTTTAATACTTTTGAAAAGATAAATTCCTCCTGATAAATTATAATTTAGTACATAAAGTCATTTTACTTTGTTGTGGGTGTAGCATTCTTTCAGAAGCTTGACCATTAACAATGCAAACTTTTAGATGAGGGAGAATTAGGTGTTTTGGTTTCTATGGAGATTGATTTTGCTCTACAGAAAAATCTTTTGTAAATAAAACTGTTATTACCTGAAGAAGGCAGTGCATACATGTGTGGGGGCATGTATCAGAGACAACTGTTAAGAACCATTTCTAAAAGCTAACTTTCTGCTAAATATATGCTAAAGTTCATTTTACAGTTTAATGGAGGGATGCCATGAAGAGCAGTTAACAGTATCTTTCTTGCTTATTTATATAGGTTGTTATGCTGAGCTCAGTTAGTGAATTGCTGACATACATTGATGACAAGCAATTAACCCCTGAGTTAGGCGGCACCTTGCAGTACTGCCACAGTGAATGGATCATCTTCAGAAATGTATGTTGCTTTTGCCCTTACTGTAGAGCCTATAGTTCTTCATGTTAGCTTTTGCATCTAGTTCTAGAAATTTTTCCTATTTGAAAAAAAACAGATTTCTGGGGCTCCTACTTTTCAAATACATATATAATTCAATATCTTGATTTTCTTCCATAGGAAATATCTAGAAATGATGAAGAGTCACTGAGGATGGCAATTGAAGGAGAGGCCTAGGGAATAAGGAGATCATACTCTGCCCACCCCCTCCTGTGGCCATGTAGTAACTTGAGGAAACAAAGGGTTTGGGGTTCAAATCCTGGCGATGCTGATTTTTAGCTTTATGACCTTGGACAATATCCATCATCTCTCTGAGTCTTAGTTTTCCCAACTATAAAATGGGAATAATAGTACCTTACCTCATAGGGATCTTGGCAAGATTAAATGGGATAACAAATGTAAAATGTTTAGCACAGTGCCTAGCAAATGGCAAACCCTCAATAAATACAAGTATATTATTAATCTTATCATTTTAATGATGCCCCTGGGACAATTAAATTTGTAGCAGAATCCTTTTGTTGTGGAAATTTACAAACAGGTGAAGGCCTTGCCACCTCCCAGGTGTGAGTCTGTGGTATAATTATCTTGACTTCAAATCCCAGATATGGGACCCCTTCCGAAGAAAATAATCATGTTTCATTAAATCAGGGTTCCATTTTACTCATCCCTATTCTTCATCCAACAGTTCATTCAACAATTCATCCAATAGTGCATTTGTTCAACAATTCATTCATTCCTGTGAAGATGTATTGTCAAAATTAGCAATGTCTAGCCTTTAATAACCTATAAATAAAAAAGCTGTATGGTAAACAGATGGTTCGTATGGTCTCTACATTTTGCCCTTCTTTCTGTGAGTAATTGATTTTGGAAACAAAATAAACAACAAAACCTTACTTGCCATTTTAGGGCAACAGAGCCTTTGGGACCACAATTCTAAATCTGCAGCTCCTGAAATGAATTGTTGTGACTAGTTGTTCTTCCATTACCTTAGACTATCACCTTGTGTGGAATGCTAATGCTTGTTCATAAGTGATAATAAATATAAAGTGACTTTGGTGTTCTCATCTCTCTTCAGAAGTGAAGTTATTATAAAACATTTTTATCAGTTACAGAGTTTATAGGATAAGGAAAACCCTATGATTCTCAAGGGCATAAAACAAATTATTCAGTACATGGCATCTTTAAGAAATAGTTTTTATCAATGTCCAAGAAATAAGCAAAGAAATTTAGATAAAAGACATTCAGGAAGACTCTTAACATTGCTTTGGTTTCTTAGAGGCTAGATGCAAAATTGGAGTTGATTGCCAAGGGCAATGCCAAATTTCCCTAGCAGAGGAGAGTTCATAGTATATTTGTTTGGTATCATACCCAAATAAATACAATTACTGATCCAGGTTTTGAGAAGCTAGCAGAGTTTCCATAGAATTAAAAGAATCACTGACTCTTTGCAGGCTATAGAAAATTTTGCTCTCACAGTGAAGGAAATGGCACAGATGTTGCAGTCCTTTGGAACTGAACTGGCTGAGACAGAACTACCAGATGATATTCCTTCAATTGAAGAAATTCTGGCAATTCGTGCTGAAAGATATCATCTGTTGAAGGTATGTCTGATAGAGTGGACAAACTAAAGTTTCCCATGGTTTTTCTTTTTCTAGAGATGTGTTCAGTGTGTCCATTTCACACTGATTATTGCATAAGGAGTGATGAAACATTTTTATATTACATCAACTATAAAAATAATACTTTATAAGAGAAGAATGTATTGGGTATATTGAATCCAAATGTCCCCTTTGTAAATGGTGCATTATCTTGAGAAGTTGTTTATTTGTAAATAGAATAGTTATAAATGCTCCAGAATAATTAGAAATCTTGTCTTTTTTTTTTTAACCTAGTAGTGTACCGCATAAGGTGTTTTGGCATATATGACAGTTTTCCCGTAAGATTGTAATACCGAATTTTTACTGTGCCTTTTCTGTGTTTAGATATGTTTAGATACACAAATTCTTAGCATTGTGTTACAGTTTCCCACAGTATTCAGTATAGTAACATCTTGTACAGGTGTGTAGCCTAGGAGCAATAAGACTATACCATATAAGTTTGTGAAGTACACTGTAATGTTTGCACTGTAGCAAAATGTAATGGTGCATTTCTCAGAACGTATCCCCGTTGTTAAGCAATGCATGATGGTGTTCTGTATCTTATGGAAAAGCCCTCTCCTTTGGAAATCAAGAGTGAGTATCAAGAGTGCTCTCTTTTAATCTCCACTTCAGACAGGTGCTCTCTTAACCTCAACTTCAGATACAGCATGAAATGGGAGAAAGAGAACTTGAGGAGTCAGGAGGCCTAGTTTCATGTCCCATCTCTGCTGTGAACTGACATTGTGACCAAGGCCAACAATGCGTGATTGATTACAAATGTTCTTTTCCTTAGAGTACTAGTTCTTGATGTTTTCTACAGTAGCTCAGAAATGACCAATTGATTTTGTTCTCCTACCCAGTTCTCTCTGGAATGTTGTGTTGTGAAGAATTCTGAGGCACAAGGCCGGGCGCAGTGGCTCACGCCTGTAATCCTAGCACTCAAGGCGGGCAGATCACTAAAGGTCAGGAGTTTGAAACCAGCCTGAGCAAGAGCGAGACCCCGTCTCTACTAAAAGTACAAAGAAATTAATTGGCCAACTAAAAATATGTAGAAAAAATTAGCCGGGCATGGTGGCACATGCCTGTAGTCCCAGCTACTGGGGAGGCTGAGGCAGAAGGATCGCTTGAGCCCAGGAGTTTGAGGTTGCTGTGAGCTAGGCTGACACCATGGCATTCTAGCCCAGGCAACAGAGTGAGACTCTATCTAAAAAAAAAAAGAAAAAAAAAAAAAAAAAAAAATCTGAGGCATAGTTCGGGCAATTAGCAAGTACTTGTGCATCTACTTTTCTCAAAAAGTTTAAGAACCATCTGAACAAGCACCAGGCACCCATATATAACTCATCTTCTTTATCTGATAATAGACATGCTGAAAGATTCAAGTGCTATGTAGAGATATATGTTTAAATTAAGAAAAGAAACTGAATTTTTGAATCACAATCTAAAAGCAAAACTCTGTCCAAGGAAAGAAAGCTCCATCCCTCACAAACTGTCTTGGGCAATTTGTTTACCATTTTTGAGTTCCAATTTCCTTATCTGTACAATGGGGCTGATGATGATGGTGATGATACATGCATACCTTGTAGAGGTGATGTGAGGATGAAATTAGGTAAGTATGTGATGTATGTACAACAATGTTTGGTATATAGTTGGCACTTCATAAATATTAGCTCTTTTTTTTTTTTTAAGACAGAGTCTCACTCTGTTACCTGGGCTAGAGTGCCATGGCATCAGCCTAGCTCATAGCAACCTCAAACTCCTGGGCTCAAGCAATCCTCCTGCCTCAGCCTCCGAGTAGCTGGGACTACAGGCATGTGCCACCATGCCCGGCTAATTTTTTCTATATATTTTTAGTTGTCTAGCTAATTTCTTTCTATTTTTAGTAGAGACAGAGTCACACTCTTTCTCAGGCTGGTCTTGAACTCCTGACCTTGAGCAATCCTCCCACCTCGGCCTCCCAGAGTGCTAGGATTACAGGTGTGAGCCACCGCGCCTGGCCAATATTAGCTGTTAATGTTTATGTTCTTACTCATATTGGTGGTAGTATCATAGAATCTGTTCCCAGAAAAAATACATGTACACCCACACTTTAGCTTACAAGTTCAGGGAGCTCTTGGATCTCCTGAAGGAGGTCTTAGATCACCCTTAGATACTTGAGGAAGGTCTATGTTTTTAAAAGGCAAAAGATTTATATGATCTGAAGAGAAGCCAGAGTGTAGGTCTATGTTTTTAGATCATTCTTTAAGGTTAAGATTTTCTGAATAGAGACATATGCTTCATGATGAATTAACTAAATCAAAATGTGAAGTAAAATAAGACTTAAGGAAGGGAGTGATTGGTAACAATTAAGGATAAATAGAAAAGGCATCTTGACTGTATCTGAATATGCATTCAATATTATTTATAATTGTATGCTTTCTAAAAATGCAATAGTCTTTATTGTGCTACTACTGCTTGATTTGAGCATTTTAAAAGTATTAACAGAATAGAATGGAATGGATTGGAACTTTATGCCAGTAAGAAAGAGGCTACAAACAGAGCACATGAAACTCCAGCCTGTAACTGTTATAAACATTGTGATTGAAACATCCATCTCCAAGACAGGGGCTTCCAGGATCCTCACAGCTTTTGGATTCTGTGGTGATGAAGCATTCCTTGATTTTTCAGACAGCTATGAAGGCAAAGGCAATTCTAGAACTGGTATTTCTATTCAGCATCTTATGGGTGTATGCTCCCTTCTCATCACATCATTCAGGTTAGGTTGCTAATTGGCTGATGCATCCTGTTGTGGTTTTGGACAGGATGATATTACAGCTGTAACCAAAGAAGGAAAAATTCTGCTAACAAATCTGGAAGTGCCTGACAGTGAAGAAGCTGTCAGTTCAAGACTAGAACGTCGTCAGCAAATAACAGGGGACTGGCAAACTATTAATAAGTGAGTACTTCCTTTTTGGTTTAGAGTTACTTATTTTATATTTTTGAAAGGGAATTATACATTTTTACTGCAATCTCTTAAGTGTGAAAGTGTTCCTGGACCTCTGAAAATCAGAGATCTTCCTGGGTTGTCCCACAGAGATTAGTTTGCTTGTAGAGGAGGTTCTGTGGACTTTGATTGTTTCCATGTGAACCAATTGTCATAGGCTATGACTTTGCCTGTAATTCTTAATGTCCAGACCAGATTTATCTACATACTTACAAAACAGATGGTTATTTTTGAAGAACTATTTGACTTTTCTTTGTTAAGATTGCTGACTCAAGTACATGATATGGAAACAGCTTTTGATGGATTTTGGGAAAAACACCAATTAAAAATGGAGCAGTATCTGCAACTATGGAAGTTTGAGCAGGATTTTCAAGAGGTCAGTTAAAACATTTCTTTATACATTTCTTTTCATTATGCCAGAGGTTCTTACTCCTTGATCATCAGAAATCCAGTCTTGCAAGATGTCCATTTACCCTTATAGAGAGGACAAAAGGAGGCAAGTGTAAGTGAACCTTGACTTAGACTAAAGAAAACCACCAATAAAATTCCAAGACTTCTTGTTCAGCTCACTCATTTCCTATGAGCAGGTACTTAAGTGCCAACATATGTGACAGGGATAAGATTGCCCTGTACTTTGAGGTTTATATTAAGATTTATCTTAGATCTAAAGTACGTTTAGGGCTGGGTGTGGTGGCTCACACCTGTAATCCTAGCACTCTGGGAGGCCAAGGTGGGAGGATCGCTTAAGGTCAGGAGTTTGAAACCAGCCTGAGCAAGAGTGAGACCCCGTCTCTACTAAAAATATAAAGAAATTAATTGGCCAACTAAAAATATATAGAAAAAATTAGCCAGGCATGGTGGCACATGCCTGTAGTCCCAGCTACTTGGGAGGCTGAGGCAGAAGGATTGCTTGAACCTAGGAGTTTGAGGTTGCTGTGAGCTAGGCTGACGCCACGGCACTCTAGCCTGGCCAACAAAGTGAAACTGTCTCAATAAATAAATAAATAAATAAATAGTGTTCAGGCTATGGGATAGCATTCCAAGAAAATAATACTGACTTTCTTCTTCATTTTTAAATATGATATCCCTGTGCTGATCATATTTAATATGATCTAACAAACTTTTTTCCTTATCCAGGAATTTATTTCTATGCAAAGCCTGACAGGTGAAATTAAATCAAGTTTAGTTACATATAAATGATTAAAACAATATTCCAGTAGGACCTTCTTAGAAAATATCATATATGGTCAAGGCACACAGATTTAGTTTCTTCCATTTCTTTTGCAGTCAAGTCCAAGTTCTTCATAGTCTCTTTCATAGTGCGGATTTTACTAGAGGATCGAAGGAAAATTCACTTTTCTCTCTTGCATGTGCTCAGTTTGTTTCCTGTGTATGAATAGCTTACTTGCTTGGTATTTCATTTGCTGTAGCAAAACTAGGTTTGGGAGAAACATTGCATTCTTGACCCAGGGTCAGTCACTACCAGCCCTTTCTCTCCTTTGATTCAAACAGCTTTTGAAATGCCACGTTCTCCCATGAAACCATCCTTGAAGAAAGGATAGGTCAAATTGTTCTTGGCCTTTCAGTTATTTGTGTCTCTCCTCTCCCCCAAGTGAATGCACACAAAATAACACTTTCCTGGACATTATGCATATACTTACATGTTAATTTGCATCCATACTAAATTCTTGTCTTGTGGTTATGTTGTTTCCCCAAGTTATTGATTGCTGTCATTAATCAGTATAATTTGTCTTAGATTGTAACCTCACTGGCATGGGCTGTATTTCATAGTGACATGTGGATAGGTCCTACATGTTTAGGAGCTTACAATTTTTTAAAAAACAAAAACTTATTTGGAAATTCAAACTCACAAAAAAGTTACAAACATATGAAAAATAGAAACACCCATATACCTTCTCCCCAGATTAACTTATTGATAATATTTGTCTAATTTGCATTATCATTTCTATTCCCTCCTTCATATATATATATATACCCTCATATGTGTGTGTATATATATATATATACACACACACACACACATACACACACAGATAATATGTTTTCTGACAAATAATGTATTTTCTGACCCATTTCAGAGTAAGTTATATACATGATGGCCCTTTCCCTCTAAATACTTCAGTTTTTTTCTAATAATAGAAATATTGCCTTACATAACCACAGTACAGTTATCAAATTTAGTACATTTAACAATTATGCAACACTTTTATATTATGTGCCATTGATATTCCAGTTTTGTCAATTGACTTGATCAAGTCCTTTCTAGCATTTCTTTTTCGTCCAGAACAGGATCCTATCTAGGGGCCAGTCTTGCATGAAGTTGTCATATCTTTTCAGTCTACTTGAATAGAGAACATTTCCAAGGCCTTCGTCTTTTATGACGCTGACAGTTTGAAGAATACAGTCCTTTCAGAAATAAAATTTTCTTCATTTTAGAGTTTGATAATTTCTCATGATTATATTTAGTAGTATGGCCAGCTAGAATACCAATATTAGTGATGTGCCTTTCTCCAGGTATCACATCTAGAGGTAAATGATGCCCACCTGCCCCTCATTATTGATGTGGATTTTGATTACCCAGTCAGGGTGTTCTTAAATTTCTCCATTGTAAAGTTACCCTCCACTCCCCACACACACTTTTAACTAGTGGGAAATGTGTGGGGAGAAAATTTAAGGTCATGCAACTATCCCATTCCTCATCAAAATTTCCCCATAGATTGAGTATTAATTGATGATTTCTGCCCAGACCAGTCTTTACTATGATGGTTGCAAAATGATGATTGTTCAAGGTCAGTGTCCATTCCACATTTACCTGTCCATACTAGGCATTCTACTGAAGCAAGAGCTTTCTCTTCTCCCCATTTATTTGTTTGATTCACAGATTCCTAATTTTTTGATTGCTTATAATTCATTAATGTTCTTAACTATTTTGGTGTTTCAGACTGCTACTGTATCCTTGTGACATGTTCCAACATTTTTTTTTTTTTTTTTTGAGACAGAGTCTCACTTTGTTGCCCAGGCTAGAGTGAGTGCCGTGGCGTCAGCCTGGCTCACAGCAACCTCAATCTCCGGGGCTCAAGCAATCCTCCTGCCTCAGCCTCCCGAGTAGCTGGGACTACAGGCATGCGCCACCATGCCCAGCTAATTTTTTTTTTTTGTATATATATTTTTAGTTGGTCAATTAATTTATTTCTATTTTTGGTAGAGACGGGGGTCTCGCTCAGGCTGGTTTCGAACTCCTGACCTTGAGCAATCCACCCGCCTCGGCCTCCCAAAGTGCTAGGATTACAGGCGTGAGCCACCGCGCCCGGCCATGTTCCAACATTTTTTAAAATGCCTTCCTTACTTTCTGGTAAAAAGACATATTCCAAGCTATCTTGTACTTATTCTGCCTTAACCCTGGAATCAGCCATTTCCCTGAGGATCCCTGTTTTTTTCCCCCTGGGAAATAGTATTAAAGATCAATATCTGGGTGCCAAGTATGCTCATTGCTACTGGGGTGTATTGGCTTCTAGGACCACTCACCATAGACCTGGTGACTATATATACATGTAGACATAGATATCTATACTTACATGTATACATACGTGCAAATGCATGTCCATATATGTATACCTGCACATATACATGGTGATCTTTTATAAGTCATGAGAACACACTGATACCTAAGAGTGTGTCTATTATATCTATTTTTGCAAATAAAATAACTGAAAATATTTTTCCATTTGTGTAATTTTTCCATATTGGCATTCTTATTTAATAGCATTTGCTATAAAACTGGATCATAAAGGGAAAAGGCTTAAGAATTTGTATGCTTTTAAAATCTCTTTATTTCCTATTTGTAGCTTGTGACTGAAATTGAATTTCTATTAAACCAACAAGCAGAGCTGGCCGATGTAACAGGGAATATAGCTCAAGTAAAACAAAAAATAAAAAAGTTGGAAAACTTAGATGAAAACTCTCAGGTAAGAATATGTTTTCTAAGTCTGCAATATTTATGGAGTAGGATAGTTATGTTTTAGTGGGACTAGGCAGTATAAACCCTTTCTATTAATCTCTCACAGCAATATCCTGTATTATAGGCACAATGATATGTGTCTATATTCTGTGTAGTTCCATGTGGGCTGGGGTGACACTGAAAATATGTCATGTAGTTGTACAGTGAGGCTTCTGAGATAAGGGTGTGAACTATTTCAAGCCCACCACTAGGAAAAAGAGCATAAATCATTTTGGGGGAGCTAGAAAATGTCTATTGAGAATGATATTTGTTGCTTGGAAATGATGGGAACATACAAGAACATAATTCCTTAAGTGCAGTTCCAACATGCAGTTGAACCAAATGTAGACTCACACAGACAGATTACTTAGTCTTACTAGCTGTGTGACCTCAGGTAAACTGATTTCTAAGCTCAATGTTGTCATCTATAAATTGGTGATAAAATGACCTACTTGCAGAACAATTGTGAGGATTCATTTAGATGTATATAAAGCACCTAGCATAGCATCTGGTATGTATAGTAAGTACTCAAAAGAGGCAGTGTCATTACACCTGCTAGTCCTAAAGCCTCTGGACTCATAGCTTTAATACTTAACAAACTCTAGCTTTGGTCTGCTGTCTTGTATGTGAGAGCAAGGCCATGCTTTTAAAGATGAATTCTCAGCAAACAAATAGGTTTGTGGGTGAACCACAAGCATGAACAAACAAAACTTAAGAGGCTAAAGTTGTGGTAACTAGTTCTGGAATTGTGCTTGTAGATCTCTGTGATTGTGGGGCAATTTACACATCCTTATGGTATAATAGAAAGAGAAGGCAAACTGGCTTGGAAAGTAGGGGGGGCTTTGATATTTTTTGTTTTTAATAAGTTTTTCATTTCTAATTATAAAAAAAACATAAAATTTGTTATCTTAATCATTTTTAAGCATTCAGTTCAGTAGTGTTAAGTATATTCACATCATTGTGCAACAGATCTCTAGAACTCTTTCATCTTGTAAAACTGAAACTTTATACCCCTTAAACGCCAACCACTCATTTTAATCTTGGTTTTCCTACTAGCTAGATAGGCTAGTTACTTCCTCTTTCTCATCTTCAGTTTTCTTTATTTTACCTTGACAGACATTTCCTGAGCTTGTACTATGTTTCAGTCACTACATAGGGGCGGGGGTGGGGGTGGTCAGTAGTGGACAGAGTGGAGGAAAGGCCACTAAGATCCGTTTGACATGGAAACCCTGTGATGTTCACATCAGGTGTGTTACGTAGACGAGGCACATGATGGCTCTGATGAGATTTCTGAGGCCAGGCTGATATGAAATACATTAGTTTTCATTTGGCTTGTGTGTACTTCATTTGATATATGTGGTTCTGTTCTACATCCATACATACCAAGAGAAACAAATCTCATCCACATTCTGGGCCGGATGGTTAATTTTCAGTTTCTGTAACTGGAAATGCATGAGCTTCTGATGATATTGCTGCTGCAGCTCATTATTGGAACTGTAAGCTTTTTTTGCAGGCTTTAGAAGTATGATGTCAAATTGTATTTTTGTCAATATATCTTTGCTCAAAGAATTTGCTTCTTAATTATTTTTTTCATTTTTCTTCTATACGGACAGAAATCATTCAGTCATTGTTTCCTTTCTTTCTTAAAATCAGGATCTGTTAGCAAAGGCCCGATTTGTGATATTACATGGACACAGGCTTGCTGCAAATCACCATTATGCACTTGATTTAATTTGCCAGAGGTGCAATGAGCTACGTTACCTTTCTGATATTTTGGTTAATGAGATCAAAGCAAAACGGATACACCTCAGCAGGACCTTCAAAATGCATAAACTCCTCCAGCAGGTAGTGTGATGGGAAATGATCCATTTCTAAAAAAGAATATACATTTTTTCCCTGGGTCTACTATGCCTGAAATACTTTGCCCTTATGCCCCGTGGGACATCTTTTATCTTCTCAGAGGTTATAAGGTCAGGGTCTGGTATAGCCTTGCAATTAAATTTGTAAGAAGTCTGAAGGACTGAGTTTAGTTACAGTTTTTCAATCCATCTACCTATGCACTATTGATGGAAGGTCCAGTATAGTATGAATTTTGCCCTCTCTGTTCTAAATATTGAGATTGTGGTGGTAATGTTTTAGGTATCTCTCTCAAACCACTACTGGTGATAGTTTGCACTCAGAATACTTTTAAAATCTCAGAGGGCATTTTGCTAAAGCCTGAAACTCCTTCCTTATTTCATAGTACAGAACTAAAAAATTAAATGACAACTGGAAAATATTCTTCCATGGCTTGTTGGTCTGACCCCTTTCATGATTAGGCAGTGAATTGACAGGTTGCCCTACAGATCTGGTCTTAGCCATGGAATGTAATATAAGGGTGTTACTTATAGACATCACATCTGAACATAAGCATTTTCAATCTGTACATCTCTGGTAACCTTTATTCTTGTCCTTGGAAATCGTTAAGTGTTTATATTACACTTTATGTTTTGCTAGGAGTTTCATATTTCAGTTATTGATTTTGGGAAAATAACATGCAACTAAAGTGTTAGCTTTGAGATAATAGTTGGACTCCTGCTGGAGAATAAATTACTTGTTATGAAATAAATGCGGTGCTCCCCACCCTTGGCTGTGCAACATCAATACCTGTGGAGCTCTGTAAAAGTATAAATGCCCAGCTTATAGCCCACAGCTACTGAATCACAATTTTTGGGAGCAAAACCCAAATATTTTTATTTCTTAACAGCTCTGAAAACAATTCTGACTCACAGAAGCCAAGGCTGATAACTACTCTCTTAATGGGCCAACATATTTCCTCTTTGTGCATTCATGTTATTTTTCTTGATTTTTCTCACCAGGCTCGTCAGTGCTGTGATGAAGGGGAATGCCTTCTAGCTAATCAGGAAATAGATAAGTTTCAGTCTAAAGAAGATGCTCAGAAAGCCCTCCAAGACATTGAGAATTTTCTTGAAATGGCTCTACCCTTTATAAACTATGATCCTGAAACCCTACAGTATGAATTTGATGTAATTTTATCTCCTGAACTCAAGGTAGAAAACTTTTTAATACACAAATTAAAAAATAATTGCAGTAGTGTGGGTAAGAGTTTTACTGCCTCACAGCTAACTTTATGTTGGATTGCATATACAAGGCCCTCTTAAGGATTAAGGGGGACAGTAGTGCCACTGTCAAGCATCAAAGAATACAAAGGTGTAAGCTTAATATATAATGAAGAGTAATTTCCTTTTTGAGCTCTGATTACATTTTTTTATACTCTTTTCACATTCTGGGAGCTCTTGCACATATTTTCTTTTGCATCCTTAGAGAAAGGATCAAAGCTGTTCTAGAATGTTGGGCCTTGTCAAGAACACTGTACCTCAAACATCTTTTCTTTGTGCTGCAGTGACCATTAACAGATGCTCTGTAGACATAGATGTAGCTTTCCTACTCAGAGAATGAAGGGGTAAAGATAGGATCTGAATCTTCTTGAGGAAGGGGGAATAGGTAGAAAAGTTGGTTTCAGTAGGATAGAGGGCTATAGGTTCGTTCTGTGCTCCCCTCTTGGACATGACATGAAGTACTCTCTTCACATTGGAGATAAGAAAACTTGTGATGCTATTTATGGTCCTAAAATGTGTAGTTGGAGCAGTATATAAATCCATGTTTAACTGAAGATCCTGGGTGATGCTCCAGGAAATTAGAAACATGGTCATGGCAGTAACCAAGTGATTCCCTGGACACAACCAAGCTTAACTCTAACTGCCTCAAAGCATCAAGGAGGGGCAAAGGGTATATCATCCATTGATGGTGGTAAGGAGCCTGTTACAACATAGAGAACTATAAAGAGAGTGTCCTATAGGGTAAAATGTAACAAAGTACTATGCCAATGTTACTCATTTGATGTTGTTATAACTTGGTGGCTTTCTCATGCTAAACCACAAAGGGTAATATGCCTTATTTTCCAGTCATTATCCCTTCCAGCCAACAAAGGGGAATTCACTGTATGCAATGACCAATTTCATGACTGCTTGGTAAAGTTTTTCCTCAGGTTGTTTTGGTGGAGATGTTGGTTTTATATCCATGTGAAGATAATACATTAATCTGTTTTCTGTTACTTTCCTAAATTTCTTCTAGTTATATTTTAAACTCCAAAACTTTTTTGACTGTCTGAGAAATGTAATAGGGTTCGTAATGACCCCATTTCAGAAAATGTTTCATAGAATTCTTAATGCAACCTGCAGGTCCAAATGCAGACTATACAACTCAAGCTTGAAAATATTCGAAGTATATTTGAGAACCAGCAGGCTGGTTTCAGGAACCTGATGGACAAGCATGTGAGGCCAATCCAATTTGTGGTACCTACACCCGAAAATTTGATCAGATCTAGAGCTCCATTTTTTTCATCTAAACATGGTAAAATTTATGACATTCACTGTCTCTATCTTTTCTTTTATTGCTATTATTTACTTTGTTACTCCTGATATAAATACTGAATTCAGTTTTCAATGCTGATAAATTAAAATTTTATTGCAGCATCTTTTCTCTTAAGTTACATTTAAATAAAATTGCAAAAAGTAGGAGACAGATTGAGATTATGGTAATATAACACAGTAGTCAGTATAATACAGAATGATGAACATCTCAGGAATAAGTATTCTGGCCTTGAAAATGAGTATGAATATTTTAGCAGCATCAAACTCATACTTTTCTTCAGTAGGTGGAGGAAAGCATATGAAACTGGTTTATACATACATACATACACATGCACACATATTTACTACTGCTCTAGATAAACTGTTACTTGGTTTTGATGAGTTTCTGCTCAGTAAATGGCTTAGGTAATAGAATGGGTTGCTTTTTCTAAATAGGTATTGGTAACTAATTTTGTTGGTAATTTGCCATTATAGAGTTAATTTTCTAGTTTTAATCATTGTAGACTAATTTTAACCATGTAATATCTATTTGTTTTCAAAGTTCTATGGGAAAAATAATTGTCCTCATAACAGTGTTGAACTCATCTGGAAATTAGATGGCCCTATTGCCTTATGAGTTCTCTTAAGTTGACTTTGGGTCTGCCTCTTAGGGAAGAGTAATTTGGTCTTTGGGGCCCTAAGTTAGTAGAATGGGTGAATGTGGGACTAAATTAGGTCTCTCTGATCTAAATAGAATCAGAGACTTCATTAGTGTAGGGAAACTGCTTTGAAATTCAGAGGAGGCTTCAGCCAAAGATAATGAGCATAAAAATATAGCTCATCCCCAGCATGGATCAGATTAAAAAGAGGTGATGAAAGCAGGTAATGAGGCTAAGATGATGAAAGTTATATGGTTAATACTTATCAAACATACAAATATACTCACAAATAAAACTATAAACAATGTCTTAAATGAATAATACTGACTATATGAAGATAGATCAAAGATACTGGAATAAAAGAGTAAAAAGAACAAAATAAAAAACAGTAAGGGGATAAAAACCAATATCTACAATAATAAAAATGGAACATGTTAATATTCTTGAGCAGAATACATACCTCAGTTAGATTTCTGGCTCCATTTACTGGCTGTGTGACCTTGGGAAGTTCATTTAACTTCTGTTAGCTTATTTCCTTGTCTGGAAAATAGGGATAACAATACCTACTAACTTCACATTATTGTGAAGACAAAAAAACAAACAAAAAAAATAGTTTGGGAACTGTAAGAAATACTCAATAAACTGAACTATCCCTTTCCTCCAGTTAAGACTTCTTAACTTAATAGCCCTCTAAAAACTCAGCTCTTCTGAAGATGTTCTTGAAGTGGCTCACCTTGTGCTGAGGGACAGGGTTTTGAGGAGACTGTCCAGGACCCACTCAAGTCAGTAGTCACTCAGAGTACATTTTGTTTTGCGTTGCTTTTTTTCTTTCTGATATTCTTATTTAATGGAGTTACACTTTTTTTCTACAGTGGGAGTTGGATACTCTTTCTTTCAAGCATGTAAACTTTTTTCGAAAGGTACCCATCTTTATTACGTTACTTTTCACCAGTACATTTTCTGAGTTTGTGTTCATGTGAGAAAACCAGTGTGGCATCTAAAAACAGTAGCAGTTCATTCTTGCATTCTGCTTGCAACTAGCTTTTTCCTTTTTTTCATAATAACCGTCTATTATTTTCTCTCAGTATGACGCTTACCTTGGAAAACGACTATATAACAAGTAGATTGTGCTTCTAATCTCAATATCTTTCATAAAATGACCACCTGAAAAAGAATAAAGAAAAACATTTGGTAATGTTAAGGTGAATTAGGCTTTCTTTTGTTTTAGAGACTCTCATGTCATCCACAATCCAAATTTTTGTTGGGAGTAGCTTGGATTTGCTTCAGTTTAAGACTGCCTCATGTTTTCATGAGGAAGAGGGCAGCTTAATGAATAAGTTGTGTAGATGAATAAATGATTCTATCCATTATCCATCATGGTTTATGAATCAAATCAAAGTATTATTTATGCTACAAACCTTGTTCATTTTACCTTATTGCTCTGTGAGTAATGGGGATTATATTAATAACTATCTGTTCCAAACAATTTCTTAAATATTTTAATTGCTAAGCCAAATATATAAAATTTGATCAATTCAAAGCATAAGTGTTAGTTTTTCATAAAAATAAATCAAACTGTTTTTTTTTTCTGTTCTTTTTTTGGCATCAAATATAATCCTGTACCTAACATAGTGCCTGACACCTCTCAGGATGTGTAACAAATATTTGTTGAATTAATATACAGAGGGGAGTTATTGAGAGTGGGAGACATTGACAGTGAGGGGTAAAATGTGATTTGAGCTCCTACCTCTGTATCTGTAGCTTAGATCTTTCTCTTAAGCATCAGATCTGTGTTTACAATTTGCCTCCTTGAATTTCCATAGGCAACTCAAACTCAGCATACATCAAATTAACTCATCTCTCTTGTAAACCGTCCTCTCTTCCTCATCTAAGTGAATGGCGCTGTGATTTCCCCAGTTGCCCAATGTTGGGACCTTAATTCTTCCTTCTCACTCATGTCCTACCTCTGGTCAAAAAAATCCTCAGTACTGTGAATTTTTGTCTACTAAGTATGTCTCAAACCCATCCACTTTTTTCCATTCCCACTGCCATCCTTACTGCCACTTTCCTAGTCCAAGCTAACATCATCTGCTGCCTTGACAACTGCAACAGTTTCCCTGTTTCCCCACTTTCTCTTCCTTTTCCTAGGTATCTTACCTTGTAGACTTTGCATATACTGTTCTCCATCTGGAACACAATTCCTTTCCCTCTCCCTTTCCCCCTTGCTGGTTTGTATGCCTCCATCAGACTTCCTGTCTCTAGGCCACTTCCTTTAGGTAAGCTTGTCTTCCCCACCTATCCTTCTCCCCGACACTGCTGTTAGGTGTTCATGCTATGTGATAACCAGCCTCCCCCCCCCCAAAGTTTCTGCTCAGCTTTAGGGTAATTGTCTGTTTTCTGACTCTCTTGCTAGACTGAAAGCTCAGTAAGGGCAGGGAATGTGTACAATTCATCTTTGTAACCTCAAACAGAGCTTACCTACAGTTTAGGTACTCAGTCATTTTGTATGTATTTACATTGTTGAAAGAATGAATACATCTACCTTGCTTTTCATAAAAAGATGTGTTTCTCATAAGTTGTATATACATTCCTCTTGCATGTCTTAATGTATTTGCAAAGAATTAATTAGTAAAACTAATAATTGTTCCCTAAGTTACCTTTAGAAATAAATTAGAATCAGGTTTCTTTAAAATGAGGCATATCAGTATTTGTTGAGACATTGATTTTATGTGGCAATACCCACTAAGTTTAATATAATTTATATATATGATTATATAAACATGAAGTTTAGATATAAAAATGTATTTTAATAAATCAAAGTGAAGCATAGAGTCAAGAGAACATAATAGCACATCCTTTCCCTGAGTGTGCCTGATGCTAGCTCCTGCAGAGGTTGGAAGAACAAAAGGTATGTTCCTTTCATGAGGAGAGGCGACCCATGCAGCCTGTGTGGGTGACAGCCTTTTCAGCAGCCCTGAGAATTAGGAACTTAAACAATCTAGTCTTTGATTGGACCATGCCCTTGGCTTTGTAAGAACATATGAATTCCTTGCTTAATAGTACAGTGGCTCACTCTTTGTAAACTGATCATTTTTAAAAATAAAGATTAAAGCTTTGAATTTTTATGAAGTTTTTAAAAACAATTTATCATGCTTTGGAAATGTTTTATATAGTCGGTAGAACCATGTGTTCTGACAGTAGACTATATGGATTTGAATACTACTTTTGATTCTTGGATGAGATATTAACCTTAGTTCCTTATCTATAAAGTGGGGATAGAAATCATTACTTACCTCTTAGGGGTGGTTTTGAGGATTAAAAAAGAAAATGCATGCATAACACTTAGAACAGTGCCTAGTATGGAGGAAGTGCCAGATAAATGTTAGCTGCTCTAATTGCTAGGTTAAATTTTGAATTTTTTCAAAATTCTTTTTGATTCAGTTAATCAACAAGCTACAATCTGATTAAATATTTATGTGTCAGAGTGAACACAAAATCTGCAAATAATTATCAGCACTAACAGCTAGCTCCATGCTCAGCAAGTAAGTGAATGTTTGATGAATGAGAGAATGGGCAAGTACATAGCAAAATCACTCTCAGTAAGAAGTTGAAATCAGGTAGATAGGTCTAACCAATTGCTGTCTTCTGTAGTGTGATTTAAAAATACTAATATAAACATGTCGGAATAGTAACTCTCTATTTAATAAACATACATATATTTTCATTAAAAGTGCTGTCTTTAATTCTGGTTTGAAATTCTTCTTTCATATTTCTCTATCAGGGAAGAAGACTTGGAGACAAAATCAGAGCAACTTAAAAGTAAATATTCTTAATTAATTCATAATTGACTTTATTGCTGTAGTTGCAGAATCAGTATGGGGGCTTAAACCATATTTTTCATTCTCTATGCTAATACTGTACGTTTGAAAGCCTATTCAATCTAAATGGAAAAAAAAAAAAGCTGCTGCTGCATTGTGCCTAATTGCCTTACTGGCATATCTCCAGATATGCCAGCTTCTCAGTATGAGCAGTTTCTCAAGTCCTGGCTCGAGTTCAGAATCATTTCTGTAGAACATCTCATATAAGTTCCAGCTTCTCTTTACTACCACCTTCATTCACCTCACTAAACCTAAATAAGTGTCGCACCTTTCTACAGAAGGAGCTTTTTTTCATGAGCGATTCCAGTCCTGCAAAGTATGAAGCACAGAGGACAGGTTCTAAGGGACCTTGCGAAGGCTAACTCTTGAGCTCAAAAAAGACATCCATTCATTTTTTTTTTTTTTTAATTTTTCTACAGACGAAGTCTCACTGTTTTGCCCAGGCTGGAGTACAGTAGCTAATCACAGGCATGATCGTAGCTCCTTGCAGCTTGGAACTACTGGGTTAAAGCAGTTCTCTTGCCTCAGACTCCCAAATAGCTGGGACTATAGGCGCACACTGTTGTGTTGGGTCCATTCGTTTCTTGATTGGTATAAGATTCCTTCCTTCTCTCAGTTATCCATGATAGTCTGGTATCTGCAGGGCATTAGCCTCATCATAACCACAAGATCCTATATTTTCTTTGTGTGCTTTTTATGGTAAATAAAGACAAGAACATGTTTTTAAGGGGGCAGTATGGCATAGTGGTACAAATTGTAGAACTAGACTGCCTGGCTTTTAATCCCAGTTCCATCACTTACCGGCTGTATACAAAGTTTTTAATATAATCCTTAACTGCCTAGTGAATGGCCTATACTGATATACAAGGCTTGGTTATCATATTGTACAATCATAACTTCTGATTTCAAGAAGGAAACAGGGCGAAAGCCAAATTCCATAGTCTTACGTGTCTTTTAGTTCTAGCTTCAAGTCATGACACTTTAGCATTCCTCTACATGGATTTATTCAGTTGCATGTCCCCAGGGAAAAAATAATGAGGCTGTGGCTCTGTACATTTTCTTGGTAGGGTTATAGCTGGTAAACACAGTTCTAAACTGCATTCTTCCAATTCAAGTCAATTTGCACTATTCATAGGTATTTAAAAGTACACATTTATGTTTCAAATCTTTTTACACTTGTATTTCAGAAACCTGTTAGGAGTAAATGGTGCATACCTATCTGTTAAGTGGAGTATGCAGTATTTTTAGTTTTCGTTATAGTATTAAAATTATGATAATGGTTAGTACATTTTCCAGACATAATAAATCAAATCATACCCTGAATGAGGGAGCATGATAAAGGTAGGAGACTATGGGCTTTGACACTTGGGCTTGACTCTGTTTTATCACTAAGTATGCATCCTTGTCTATGTTACTAAATCTCTGTGAGCCTGAATTTTCCCATATTTAAAATAGGGGAAAATACCATAGCTTGCTGAATTGCTGTGAGGATTAGATATAATGATGTGTACTAAGCAACTAGGGCAGTACCTGCCTAATATATAGAATGTCATAATAAATATTTGTTCCTTTCCACATATATTCATTTTGGGTTTTAGTTGTCATAAAGCAATATTACATTGACTTGGAGGTCAGGTAAGCTCGGCTGTCCATTGCAGCTGATATTGCAGAAATATATTTATATTTCAAATGCTTCTTAAGAGCAAATAACTATCACAAATCCCATGCAGTTCACTCAGTAGGTCAGTACAAGTTCTTTAGAATCTGCAAAATAAAGCAGCACTTTAGGATCAGGGAGGCCATTTATAGCAACAACAGACATGTGGCAGAGGGTAGAGACAGAGATATACAGGTTAATAGCTATTTTGAGAAAGAATAGACAGTTCTTCAGATCTTAGTAGGCCTGGAGTGCATCATTAAATTTTATCATATTCAAGTTTTATAGTGATGCCACTGAGTCATTAGAAAAAAGATCAATTATGTTGTGTGTCCTTGAGGAAAGAATTCAAGGATGCATGTAATATTTTTTAGAAAGATTTACATGAAAAATCATTATGGTTTAAAAGATATTTTGGTTCTTCAATGAATAAACTTTAGTTATCTGGAAAATCGACTTTTAATGAATGAATCTTATTTACCAAGAGTACCAAATAAATGAAAAATTAATGTATAAAATAATTCTAATTAGTATCTTAAATCTGTCTTAGGCAACTCAAATAATTTTTTACTAGTTTATATCAAAGTTGTTTTTGAGAAAAACCATAGTATTATTTTTTTAATTTGTCTGCAGAATTAGGACCTAGAGTAGATTTAACTGGAGCTAGATATCCTTGAAGAACTTTCCCTACATAGATGTAATTTAGTTTTTAAATTAAATTATTAATTATTTTAGATTTATTCATTATTATTCATTAAATTATTTCATTATTTCAGATTGAAGTGGTGCATGATTGCCGGGAGCAGAGAAGTTCTGGTCAATCCTCCAGTTTGGACAATGCTAATAGCTTGGATGTTTTAAAGAAGTATTCTTTTTTTCTTTATTAATATAAACATACATGCTCATCTACCTGTAGGAGTCTCTGGTTCAGTGTTCAAGGCCAATGTGTTTAGAATATTGAGTTTACAGAATGGGTATTTATTGGGTGTGATAAAAAGAGTTCTAGTGCAGGTGTCAGAAATCTGGATTTAGGCCTGGCGAAACAAACCTGTGGTCTATTTATGTGACTTGAGGAAAATTAGACATTTTCAGAATTTTCATCTCCTCTTGTTTTCCCCCATAGTTTGGAAAAGAAAATGAAGATTTTTGTTTATTTTTTTAGTTTCTTTTGTTCTTATTATTTTTAATTGACATAATTGTACATATTTATGTACAGTGTATTTTAATACCTGTATATAATGTATAATGATCAAATCAAGGTAATTAGCATATCCATCACTTTTTTAGCTTTACTGAGCTATAACTGACAAAATTGTATATATTTAAATCATACAATGTGATGCTTTGATATATGTATATATTGTGAAATGATCACCATAATCAAGTTAGTTAATACATTTGTTACCTGAAAGTTAACCTTTATTTTTGTCATGAGAACAGTTAAGATCTACTCTCTTAGCTAATTTCATTATACAATACAGTATTGTTAACTATAGTCACCATGCTGTACATTAGACCTCCAGAATTTATTCATCCTACATAATCAAAAGTTTGTCCCCTTTGGCAACATCATCTCTTCTTAAAAAGAAGTGAAAATGACTGAAACAGTGCATCAAAAACTACAAAGGATTATATAGATGTACACAGTGCTTTTATAGATATTAATAATCATTTTATTCACTTTTACAATATTACATTAATATTCTAGATATAAGAATATTCACCTTTTAAATTTTATATCACAGAGTTGTAAGTGGCAAGTATTTGCAGCAAGTTGTATGAGGATATATGGGGAGATACATATATACACACACATATATACATTCAAAAACGTTTAGATGTTAAATTCTTTAAAATGTGAAAAGAAGAAATAAAAAGAAAGGGTAAACAAAGGCCAAAGGTAGAAGTTAAGTCAAATGGGTTACTTATATTGGGGAGAGGGAGAATTAATTTTAAATGTGATATCAATTGGAAATCATGTTGAAAGGAAAATGTGTTTTACAAGGACAGTAAACAAAAGTATTACAGAAACTTAAGTGTGATGTACACTTGGAAAGACCAGTGTCTATTGCATGTCTTAGAAAATCTCAGAACATTACTGGGAAAAGGGAAAAATAGTTCCTAAAGTGCAAATATTATTTTTTTGAGAGAAAGAGAGGATACTAAAGCTCAAATTGTACTGTCAGTTAATCAAACAAGCAAGCCTCAGACATTTAGGAATAGATTTTTGTGAATTTTTAGTAAATTGATTCTTAGTTAGAAATAAAGGATTTTTTAAAAGTTAATAATAACCGTTGGGCTATATATTCTTTCTTTCTTTTCTTTCTTTCCTTTCTTCCTTCTTCTTCTTTTTTTTTGACAAGGTCTCCCTCTGTTTCCCAGGCTGGGGTGCAGTGGCGTCATCATATCTCACTACAGCCTCGAACTTCTGGGCTCAAGTGATCCTCTCACCTCAGTCTACTGAGTAGCTGAGGCTACAGGCATGCACCACCATGCCTGGCTAATTTTTAAAAAAATTTTTTTGTAGAGACAGGGTCTTGCTATCTTGCCCAGGCTGGTCTCAAACTCCTGGCCTCAAGTGATCATCCTGCCTCAGCCTCCCAAAGCGTTGGGATTATAGGTTTGAGTTACCATGCCTGGCCACTTTATATATATATATTTAAGAGTCTTGTGGGTGGTACCTATTCTAGAAATCATAAAAGTGGGTTTAGCTGGGCATGATGGCTCATGTCTATAATCCTAGCACTTTGGGAAGCTGAGGCAGGAGGATCAGTTGAGGCCAGAAATTCGATACCAGCCTGGGCAACATAGCAAGACTCCCATTTCTTAAAAAAAAGAAATTTCATATTCTGATGGTAAAACCCAAACCATTGGTAGTCCTTATGCATTAACTATTTCTATCATAGATAATTTATAATGATAATTAAAACATTGCAATATAATTCTCACGTAATAAAATAAGTATGGTCTTATCATTTTAGCCATGTCCTAAATGAGCTGATACAGACTGAGAGGGTGTACGTTCGAGAGCTGTTTACTGTTTTATTGGTGAGTGACTCGAGTTATATTGTTCCCATCTTTTCCTAAATGATCCCTTGCTTCATTCATTAGAAAGAGTGTAGGGTAATCTATTTCTGTCTCCTCCCTCGGTTGTCACATGGCAGTAGTGGGCATTTCTTCTATTGTTTGAGGCTGCATGTTGGTTAAATGTGTATATTCAAGTTTTCCCTCAGTAGTGGGAATGATGGATTCAGAATTTATTACAGAAGAGAGAAGCTGTTCTCTTAGGGATACAGCAGATTGTTATAGTTATCCCCAGGGTGCTATTTAGAGATTATGATATAAAGAACTGAGAGTGGGATAATAGTATTCATTTGATAAAAATGTCATAATATTAATTTGGTCTGGGAAAACATAAAACAGATTGCCAGTTTAAGGAGAAGTTGATGACCTATAATATATTTTTTCATACTAGGATTCTATTTTGTTTCCTATACTACAAGTTACCCTGAAGGCCAGAGTTGTCACTTTATTCTGCCTGTTGAGTGGAAAACCTTGACTTCTTTGTCCTGCCTTCTAAAAAAAAAAGTCATGAATAACTTTGGGAAATAAGACATTTGAATGTTAAAATTCAAGTAACTTTACTCACAAATCCCCTATATATTCTGCTGTACTTATACCTTTGGTGGCCCAATCAAATGTGAATACAAATGTTTTTTAAATGCATAAATGTATTTATTTGGGGTAGGGCTATAGGGCAGAGATGGATAATCCAGAGATGTTTGATCTTATGCCACCTCTCCTGAGAAATAAAAAGGACATTCTCTTTGGAAATATGGCAGAAATATATGAATTCCATAACAGGTATGTAATTATTGAATCGAATATTTCTTTTTCATAAAATTATTTAAAGGGGTGTTGACCAGTTATTATATTGCACATGAAATCATATCATAGTTTTTTCTCTAAAATTTTCACAGCATTTTCATGAGCAGCCTGGAAAATTGCACTGACGCTCCAGAAAGAGTGGGACCTTGTTTCCTGGAAAGGGTTAGTTGAATTATTTAAAAAAAAATATATAAATATGGGCCACTAAAATAGCAGCTGATTTATAAGTACAGATTTGGAGATAAGATGGATATTGTTTTTTATGTCTTTGTGTTTTAGAAACTTCACTCCAGCAAGCATTTAATGCCAAACCAAGTTATGTTGCAGAAACTGACACACTGGGGTACCCAGAGCATGCAAATGCCTGTTGTATTCTGTGTTATCAAATGCTTCGATGGCTCAGCTAATAACCACTAACCCCTGGGTGATCCTAGGAATCAAGGGACCATCCTGACTATGAAAATGTGACAGTTGGGATCATCTTAGCAAAATCATTCTGGGCTTGGTTAATTTTTTGCCTAAAAGATGCTTTGTTCTTCCTCTCTCATACATGGAGAGTTTTAGAATCGAATCTATTCTGGCTTTCAGCCACCAAGGCATCTATCCCAAGAACTTCACAAAAGTAGAGCTGTTGATTCTTCTTATTCAACAAAATCATTCAGGGAGGCGTATTACTCCATTTCCTAAGAGTGTGCTTAGTACAGTTGACATCCCAGGTTAGTGATCATCCTTTCCTCCATTAGAGTTTTCTCTTGGAATATTTTTTGCATATGCTTCCCTGCTTACCTAGTTCCTCCTCTTCCTGAAAGATTTGTTTTGTCTTGATTTGAGAATCAGTTCATAAGAGGAGATCACTGAAAGCTTCAAAATAGATATCTTATCCCAGAAAGTGTTTATGAAATGAGAATAAGGCTAAGAAAGAACTGTGTGTCATTACCTTTCTCAGTATGTTCTAACTTTAAACACATTTAAACTGTGATCAAATGCTTCCCTATCTTCCTCAAGAAACAGCATTTATATGCCCTTTGGATTCTATAGAACATTAATGTCTATATTCCTCATTGGAGATTTTACATTTACTGTGTATCTTTACATGTACACATGAATTCTTTCCCCAACTTGAAGGGAAGCCTTTAGAGCCAGGGTTCATATTGTATATATTTTTGTATCTGTCATAAAATTAGCAGAGTTCTTGGCAGCCAGTAGTAATTTAATAAATGTTTATTGATGATTTGTTCATTTATTCAGTAGCCATCTACTGAACACCTGCTATGTACCCAACACTGTGCTAGGCAATGTGGATGTCAAGCCCAAGACAATTTAGGTAAAAAACAGGGAAATCATTAACTGTGTATAGAGTTGCCCTATATTAGAGATATACAAAGGGCCCTAGATGGGCCCAGAAGAGGGGTATTTTACATAGACTGGGAGTATAAACAATGGCTTTATAGAAGAGATGGCTCATGAGGTGAATGTTAAAGAATAAGTAGGAGGTGAGGTGATTGCCCGTTAGGTGAGGGTCAGAGAAAGATGAAGAGAGAATAGCATGGGTGGATACCTACATGGGTTATGCTACAATTATAATGTCCCAGTGATAAACCAAGACTGCTGGCTCTGACTTGGAAGTTAGCTATAATAGTTCATTCACTAGAGAACGGAGGGACTAATGACATAGGAAAAATATATTTCTTGGTATCTTATTAACTCACAGTTATGAAAAAATAGTCTGTTTTTATAGATGAGACAGAGAAAACTTTTCTTCATCTAAGTGTCAGGTTTGGTAAGTGGAAGGTCTGATACTTCTTGGATAATTACGCATGCCTCCACCAGGTCCAATGAACATGCCATTCTTGGAATACAAAGAGGGCTTCTGACCAGCTGCCGGTACAGCAGGCCCTTTAGGCCACATTCCGTGGAATGCTTGGCCATACTTACTCTTGCTCAGCCTTTCTTGATGACAAAAGTTTATGTTCACAAATTGGTAATATGTTTGAATTTGCTGTTTATCACAGAAGGATGATTTTCAGATGTATGCAAAATATTGTCAGAATAAGCCCAGATCAGAGACGGTTTGGAAGAAGTATTCAGAATGCGCCTTTTTCCAGGTAAAATAATTATTGAAGTATTGGATATACTCTTTCTGGAAGATATTGGGATATTTCTTATTTATAAATTCATTTTCAACTTTAAGTTACATATGCATATAAGTTAAAGAGCTATTCTGGGCCGGGCGCGGTGGCTCACGCCTGTAATCCTAGCTCTCTGGGAGGCCGAGGCGGGCGGATTGCTCGAGGTCAGGAGTTCGAAACCAGCCTGAGCAAGAGCGAGACCCCGTCTCTACTATAAATAGAAAGAAATTAATTGGCCAACTAATATATACAAAAAATTAGCCGGGCATGGTGGCACATGCCTATAGTCCCAGCTACTTGGGAGGCTGAGGCAGGAGGATCCCTTGAGCCCAGTAGTTTGAGGTTGCTGTGAGCTAGGCTGACGCCACGGCACTCGCTCTAGCCTGGGCAACAAAGCGAGACTCTGTCTCAAAAAAAAAAAAAGAGCTATTCTGTCCTCCCCAAAACACATACACATGCACATAGGTACCCGTGCACACAAACACATACTTGCTGCTCCCTAGAGGTACCTGCTTTCAGTACTTTTAGCTACATCTTTTGGTATTTCCTTTCATATCTCCAAATGACATGCTTATCTTCCTCCTTTCTACCATGGAAGGGGAGAATTTAGCTCTCTTTCACTGATTTCCACCCCACTACCACATACAGAAATGTTTTTCTTCCAATGTAGTTAGATTGTAATTTTCATTAGATTGATATACAGTGTTAATTTATTAAGACTGTGTAATTTCTCGGCTCACATGAGTCATGTGGTATAGTCATGTGGTTGTTTTCCCTTCCTGTTAGTTTGCCTCGCAATTATCTTTTTACTCAGTTTTCTAGATTCTTATCTTTATTCTACTCTAACCTCTCCCAGTTGTGAGAGTTATAAAAATCTTCTCAGTAAATTTAAATACATTTGATTTTTTCTGAATTTCATCTTCTTGAAGGAATCTCTCTTAGAGTTTTCTTACCTGCTCATCTAGACTCACTTGGCCTGTTGCACAGCTGTCCTTTGGGAATCTTGGTGAATATCACCGTGGGGACTCTTTTCACTTGTCTGTTCCATAGGGTCTCCTGCTTCCTAGGTGCCATGTCTCCATCTTTCTTGTTTCTCTCTCTTGTTTGGTGGAACACAGCCTACAATAGTTTTACTGGGAAAGTGTGCACAAGAGATAAAAGTGTTTGAGAGTATATGTGTCTGCAAATGTCTTTATTCTACCTAACACTTGATTGCTAGCTTGGCTGGCTATAGAATTCTAGGTCAGTAATAATTATACTCAGAATTTTCAAAGTATTGCTCCCTTGTCTTCTAGCTTCCAGTGTTGCTGTTCAGAAATCTGATGCTATTTTGATTATTTTCCTTTGCAGGTGACCTTATTTTTGTCTTCTTAAAGTTTATGGGAACTTCTTTTATCCTGAGGGTTCGAATGTTGGCACTATTTTCGTCCATTATGCTAGTCTCATGGTGATCACTTTGAATTTGGAAATGCCTGTTCAGATTGACTCAGATTTTTTTTTTTATTTCCTCCATCCAATTTTCCCCATTCTCTCTTTCTGGAATTTCTATTGTACAGATGTTGGATATCCTGGACAGGTTCTCTAATTATCTTTTCGCTCTATTTTCCATTCTTTGTCATTGTCTTCTACTTTCTTGGATTTATAGTCCAGTCCTTCTATTCAGGGTTTCATTTCTGCCATTATATTTTTCATTTTGAAGAGCCCTCATTTTTTTTTTGTTCCCTCAATATTACTTTTAATAGAATTTTGTTTTCATTTTGTGAATTTAATATCTTCATTTATCTATTCAAAGATGATAATACAGTTTCCTTTTAAAAATGGCTTTCTTTTCCCTACATGGTTTCTGTTGCCTTCAATTTTTTTTTTTTTTTAGTTTTTCTCTTTTACTTCATTTGGTTCCTGTCACTCATCTTAGATGCCATCCTCAAATGTCTAGTGATATTTGTTTGTCTACTTACAGTAGGAGTAAACACTAGAAAGCTCATTGGAAGTTTCCAGTGAATGTGTGGGTTTATTGACCATGATCCTGTGGTTATATCACATTTTATTTATCCATTCATCAATTGATGGACATTTGTGTTTCCACCTTTTGGTTATTATGAACAATGCTGCTATGAAAGTTTTTGTACAAGTTTTTGTGTAGACATGAGTTTTCATTTCTCTTGGCTATATACCTGGGAGTAAAATTTCTGGGTCATGCGGTAACTCTATGGCTAACTTTTTGAGAAACTGCTGGACTGTTTCCAAAGTTACGGCACCATTTTACATTTCTACTAGCAGTGTATGAGGGCACTGATTGCTCCACAGCCTGACCGACACTTGTTATTATCTAATTACTTCTTAAAGACTTTCAACAACCATATTTTTTTGAACTTCACCTTTATCTCCCACTTTCAGAGGTATTTGCTCTATAATCCCTGAGTCTTTGTGGAGAAGAAGGACATAAATTGAATTATTCTTGGCTTTTCCCTCTGCCAACTTAAAATTCACTTTTCTCTAGTATGCTTAGTTGTTTACCACTTGCCAGTTTGGTTTCCAGTTTCTAAATTTTACTGAAGTTCTCCTTTCTCATTTTCTATGTAACTTTGAGTTCTTGCCTTTAAAAAACAACTTTCCCATCATTTTAGTTGGGTTTCACAGGTGAGGAGATCTAAGTGCATGTATCAGTCCACCATCTTTAACAATAAATTGATAAGTCTTGTTTGAATTAGATTGTATGTTGGATTTTATCCATATCCAGAGGAGGACCCTAGATCTTATTGAGGTATATCCTTCCTTAATCCCTTTTTGTTCTATACTTCCTGTACACACATTTCATCCTAACCAGCTCCATCTTGTCCTAATTATGGGTCCTACAGTGTTCCCAGGACCCAGTGTCATGACCCTTATATTAATAGTGGCAGTGGGCCAATAACTGGATGAAATATAGCATGAGTTGATGAGGGTTGTATGTTTTTTGTGATATTAAAAAATTTTGTTCTCATATCCACTCTGATTTATGTTCAGTACAACCTATTTCTTTTCTGGGCCTTGGCCTTTGGAGCTTAATCTTTTGTTAATTTTCTTAGATATATTGAAGAACTTTTTAATCATGTTAATGTAGAGTCATTCCTTGCTTTATCACCTTTTAAGCATTCCACATCAATGTGAATTTATATATGAAAACCTTTTAATCTTTAAGATGTTGGAATTTTCTATCTTCTAAATCCATAAAATGCTGTTTACTGTAGTTTCTCAGATATACTGTCTTATAATTTCTGTACCATATATACTGGTGATTTTTCTGATCAGTTTTCTTTGCGATTTAAGGAATATCGATGCATTGGGTTCAATCAGTGAACACTTGGCATTTTCATAGGTACATGTCCTAATTTAAATTTATTGGTAATTATCTTTCGATGACAGGAATGTCAAAGAAAATTAAAACACAGACTTGGTCTGGATTCCTATTTACTCAAACCAGTGCAACGAATCACTAAATATCAGTTACTGTTGAAGGTAATTATGCAAAACATTTGTTTCTTTCTTTAGTTTTTCGGGTCAGATATGGCAAAGCAATTTAAAAGGAAGTAGCTGACTAATAAGCACTAGAAATAGGTAGGCTCAATGACTGGGAGGACTGGATTTAGCAGTAGAATTAGTGCAGCATGTTCTTTCCATTCACTTTGGCTATGCACATGTCATAGGCATAGATGTTAGGCTGTGACTATCTTGAGTCTTAGCTATTTAATTCTTCATACAAGTTGTATTGATTTATGCATAATATTTTATGGAAGAACTTTTAATATTGTTAAGAACTAAACAAATATTTTTTTATAGTTTTGAGGCTGTCTTTCATATGGGCCTTCTCAATGAAAGAGGCAAATGACATTCCTTTAGTGTAACGTGAAAGGATGACTGAAATCTTGTGTTAAGTATAAATACAACATAGCTTGTTTTAAAATGTATTTCCATAGTGTTCTATGCTATATGCATCATGTAAAACAAATTATTATACGTAGAGGACAAAAAAAACCTGTATGATTGCATTAAAAACTAATCTCGAATGTATCTCAATAGCTATTATTCTTCAGCTCCAAAAGCATTCAATACCCTTTAATACTTTTCAGTCGCTATTCTACTTCTTTCCCGATTTTGACATTGTTATTAAAAATAGTATTAACTCAACAAAGAGCATATAAAAGAAATTACTCCAAAAAATGATATTATCTTTGGATTCCTGTTTGAAAGCATGTTAGTCAAAGCTTATTCATTTTTACCAGCTATTAATATCTGCCTAATATTGGTTTAATTCCTGACTTCTAATTACAGGAGCTATTAAAATATAGCAAAGACTGTGAAGGATCTGCTCAATTAAAAGAGGCACTTGACACAATGCTCGATTTACTGAAGTCACTTAATGACTCCATGCATCAGATCGCAATAAATGGCTATATTGTAAGTAGATATTAATAATTGTTGGAATTTTAGGGAGTAAGCAATATCAATAACCCTTTCCTCTGCTTCTGGAGCCAATTGAGAAATAAGGTATAAGAAACAGATAAATGGAGATCAAAATGTTAGCATTATTATTGATAATGCTAATTGGAGAATTGGCTTTAGATCAGCAGCCAAATGCATTTGTGTAATTCCCCTTGTCCTCAATAGCCTGCCCCCAAGTCTGGACCTCAGGAGAGACATATTGTCCCAGAATTGCTGCTTTCCCTGGTCCAGCATAGATAGGGAAAGAAAAGGATCACATCTTTAGAGCTTGTAGCCTTTTAAAAGATTAGCTCTACCCAGTGGGGAAAGCAATCAGGATTGAGGAAGCCATGGGGAGAGTTAGGCTAGCTGCAATACTGCCACATGGAGATTATGTGAAGCCAGGGAAAAGGAAGTTTCTTTTATCTTTCACCCCATAGAACTTTGTACATATGTGATGCATGTTTTAATATAAAAAGATAGAATGAATATATTTTTAAAAAACATAAATTATGCTTGAGAGTTTTAGTAGCTCAAGCTAAACACTAAAATGTTGATGTCAGAGATCGGAATGTAGCTCTGCTTTGTACTAATGGGTTTTCATTTTCCATTTTAGGGAAACTTAAATGAGCTGGGCAAGATGATAATGCAAGGTGGATTCAGCGTTTGGATAGGGCACAGGAAAGGTGCTACAAAAATGAAGGATTTTGCTAGATTCAAACCAATGCAGCGACACCTTTTCTTGTATGAAAAAGCCATTGTTTTTTGTAAAAGACGTGTTGAAAGCGGAGAAGGAGCTGATAGATACCCGTCATACAGTTTTAAGCACTGCTTGAAAGTAAGACACAATTTGAATTGTGTAATGTAATATTATTTCGTGTGTGTATGCACATGTATCCCAGTTTGTACGCTTTTCTGTTTCAAATGAATGGGTTTTATACTTCAGTTGCACAGATCTTTGTATATAAAAAAAATCTTAATTAGAAGTCTTATGTAAAAGTCAGGTAAAGCAGAACTTCTCTACTTAAAATTCTTGAGAGTGAGGGAATGCATATAGGTTTGATAGAAATCAAATCCTTTCTTCTCTCACTACAATCCTACGCCTTGCCCCAGGGGTCCACTAGCATCCTGCAGAGCACAATTTGAAATTATGGGGAGTGTCCCAGGCTCCCCCAGGATCACTCTCCCTACCAGTGATACTGGGTGGAATTCTTGATGGAATTCCAAGGAGCCTTTTGCCACAGGTGAGACATGGAGGAAAGAACATCTTCCTTTTCCTAAATGCAATTTAAAAATGGATAATATTTGTGCTTAGCATATTCCCAGCTTCCTTTCAGTGTCCTTCCTCCATTCCTTAGTTCCACCCTTCCTGTGTCCAAAGCCACATCCTTTTTATACCTGTCCTGTTGTATCCTTTGAAATTACTTTATTCTCTCATATAAATAAAACTGTCATTCTGTCTTAATATTAGTTTTGTATTAAAATGAGAGAAATATGATTTGAGGAAGTCACTGGCAACTGAGTGATACTTCCAGCTAGTTTTGCTGTTAGACAAGAGGAACTTCCAATTCACATGAGGCTGTATTTCATGAATTTGATTTTTTTATACTCAATGAATTTTATCTTTCAAGTCTTAAACTCTAAAATCAATATAACATTTGTTATAGAAAATTTAGAAAATAGAGAAAATTATTACCCTCAATTCCCCAACCACTATGACTTTATTTTTTTAAACTTCAGAATATTATAGGAGTACAAATGTTTTGGTTTTGTGGATTGCTCTTGTACTGCTTGAGACAAAGTTGTAAGTGTTCTCATCACCCAGACAGTGTACATTGTACCTGTTAGGTATGATTTCACCCCTCTTCTCCCCTCCCACTTGCTTGATTTGCATTGAGTTTTACTTCCTACTGTGCTCACATGCTGTTCAGTTAGTTCCAATTTAATAGTGAGTACGTGTGGTATTTGTCTTTTCATTCTTGGGATACTTCACTTTAGAGAATGGTCTCCAGTTCCATCCAGATTGTTACAAAAGGTATTAATTCATTTTTTATGGCTGAGTAGTATTCCATGGTGTAGACACACACACACACACACACACACACACATACACACACACGCACACCACATTTTATTAATCCATTCATAAGTTGATGGGCACCTAGGTTGGTTCCACATCTTTGCAACTGTGAATTGTGCTTCTATAAACATTTGAGTGCTAATGTCTTTATTATAAAATGTCTTCTTTTTGCCTTTGTGTAAATATCCAGTAGTGGGATTGCTGGATCAAATGGTAGGTCTACTTTTAGTTCTTTGAGGTATCTCCATACTATTTTCTATAGAGATTGAACTAGTTTGCAGTCCCACCAGCAGTGTATAAGTGTTCTTTTCTCTCCATATCCACTTAAGCGTCTATTGTTTTGGGACTTTTTGATAAAAGCCATTCTTACTGAGGTTAAGTGATATCTCATTGTTGTTTTAATTTGTATTTCCCTGATGATTAGTGACCTTGAGCATTTTTTCATATGTTTATTGGCCACTTGTCTATCTTCTTTTCTGTTCATGTCTTTTGCCCACTTTTTAATGGGGTTTGATTTTTTTTCTTGCTGATTTGCTTGAGTTCTTTTTAGAATCTCATTATTAGTCTTTTATTGGATGTATAGCATGCAAATATTTTCTCCCATTCTGTAGGTTGTCTGTTCGCTCTAATGATTGTTTCCCTGGCTGTGCAGAAGCTTTTTAATTTAATCAAGTCCCATTTATTTATTTTTGTTGCTGCTGTGATTGCCATTGAAGTCTTCTTCATAAATTCTTTGCCTAGGCTGATATCTTTTTTTTTTCCAGAATATTATGGGTGCACAAACGTTTTGGTTGCATAAATTGCTTTTGTACCATTTGAGTCAAAGTTATAAGTGTGCCCATCCCCCAGATAGTGTGCATTGTACCTGTTAGGTGTGAATTTACCCATCCCCTTCTCTCCCTCCCACCTCCTTGATTTCCAATGAGTGTCATTTCCATATGTGCACATAAATGTTGATCGATTTAGTTCCAATTTAAGGGTGACTACATGTGGCGTTTATTTTTTCCTTCTTGTGATACTTCACTTGGAAGGATGGTCTCAGTGTTTGCTTGTCTGAAAACGTCTATTTCCTCCTCATATAAGAAACTTAGTTTTGGCCTGGCACGGTGGCTCACACCTATAATCCTAGCACTCTGGGAGACCGAGGCAGGTAGATCGTTTGAGCTCAGGAGTTCGAGACCAGCCTGAGCAAGTGTGAGACCCTGTCTCTACCAAAAATAAAAAAAATTAGCCGCGCATGGTGGCAAATGCCTGTAGTCCCAGCTACTCGGGAGGCTGAGGCAGGAGGATTGCTTGAGCCCAGGAGTTTGAGATTGCTGTGAGCTAGGCTGACACCATAGCACTCTAGTCCAGGCAACAGAGCAAGACTCTGTCTCAAAAAACAAAAACAAACCAAAAAACCCCTTGGTTTTGCAGGATATAAAATTCTAGGCTTGCAGTTGTTCTGTTTAAGAAGACTGAAGATGGGGCCCCAATCCCTTCTGGTTTGTAAGATCTCAGGTGAAAAGTCTACAGTTAGTCCGATGGGTTTTAGTTTGTAGTTTACTTGATATTTTCGGCTCATGGCTCACTGGAGTTCTTCCTTTGTTTTAATGTTGGCCAGTCTGATGAGCATGTGTCATGGTGATTGCCTTTTTGCAGTGAATCTCCCAGGTGCTTGTTGATCTTCTTGTACCTGGATATCTAAATTTCTAGCAAGATCAGGGCAGTTTTTTTCATTTATTCCCTCACATAGGTTTTCCAACCCTTGTGTGTTTTCTTCTTCACCCTCAGGTGCCTATGATTATTATGTTTGGCCTTGTTACATAATCCCATATTTTTCTTGTAGGCTTTGTTCATTTTATTTCTCTGTTCTTTATCTTTGACTGACTTGTTTAGTTTGAGCTCTGAGATTGTTTAGCTCTGAGATTCTTCTGTGTGGTCTAGTCTAAAAACTTTCCACTGTGTTTTGTATTTCCTTGAATGAATTTTTCACTTCTATAAGTTCTATTTGATTCTTTTTTAATAATTTGATTTTTTTTAGTGAATTTTCTTATTCATTTCCTGTATTTTTGTGGTTTCTTTGTGTTGGTTTTTCATTTTCTCTTGTATTTTGCTGAGTTTCCTTATAATCTAAATTTGGAATTCTTTATTATTTGATATTTTCGCTTTGGTTGGTATCCATTTGTAAAGGGTCATCATTTCCTTTTGGGGGTATATACTTTCGCTCTGATTTTTCATACTTCCAAAGTTCTTTGCTGATTCCTTCTTATGTGACCTTTTGATTGAGTCCTGTGGGTACTTACTGGGTCTGGCTTGTGGGCCTGTCCCCAGGACCCTGAAGATCAACCCCTGACTGTGCCAGGGAGGAGAGTGCTGGTCCCGAATTGCCTGTGGGGTGTTCAAGCAGGTTTGATAGTCCTCTCGGTTTGCCTTTGTCCTGCTGTCTTCACCTCTTCCTAGCACTGTGGATTGTGTTGGGTCCCCCAGCTTAATATCTGATATGACTGGTGGTACCTGTGAGTATGAATCAGTTATGCCCTGTTTGCTTGAGTTGGGTGATGCTATAATGAGCTATATAGTTGTTCTCCCTGTCATCGGTTAATGTTTGTGTGAAAGAGCCAGCTGCAGAGATGTTCTTTTGTCCCCATGGTAAACCCTGGTCCCCCAGGTGAAGTACTTGAGTGCTCCAAGCTTTAGGAGAGATCCTGTAGCTACCAGGGTGTTGCTTGATCTCCACTACCACTGAGGTGGAGGGAGGTGTAAGGCAGTCCGTGGCTAGGTTGCAGGAGCCTAAAAGGCTTTGCAAACCCTTGGTGCTGCTCAGAAATTGCTTTTTTGGCCACTAGGGGAAGCTACTGGTAGGTGTATCAGGACAAGCTCTCCAAATCAGGAGGGCTGTTTACGGGGGAGGGGCCTAGTGGCTTGAGTTCTAAGGCCCCAGGCTGGCATCTTTCCACCCTTATCCAGTACCACAGTTTTTCTGCAGGGAGGGGTATACACTCCCCTAGTCATCACTCCTTGGACACCCACAGCACACTCCCGTCAGTTTAGTCCAGCTCTCACTACCTGAGTCCAGCTCTCAAACCTGTCCCTGGTCTGTGTGTCTGACCCACTATCGTGCATCTCTGCGAAACCAAATGTTGGTGGGCAGGGAGTACCATGATTGTGCACCCTATTCAACTACAAGTCCTCAAAGGAAGAGGTGTGAGCCCCACTATCTATGGGGATCTCAGCCTGGAGCACACGCCCGCTGGAGAGAATCAGCTGCTTGGTAACTTCTGGACTGAAACTGTTCTCCCTGTTATAATGAGTCAGGGGAGGGGCCGCAGCACCTGGTCAGCCTGAGCTCTACCTGTTTTCTCAGGTTGCAGTGGACAGGAGAGGTGTGGGGGAGGAAGTGTCTGGATGGGAGAAAGGTGGCACTCTGGCCTCTTGTGGCGCTTTCTTGGGGGAGCCTCTCATGGGCTGCCCAAACTCCTGGGGCTCTCTGGTTGACTCCACTATTCCTTATTTTCTGCCATGCCTGGGCTTATGGAGGGCGGAAAAGCCTTTAGTAAACTTAGTGTCCTGCTGCCCAACTGAGGCATGTAGGAGGGGAAGGGCATTTCCCCTTACCTTTTCACTGAGCTTCAAGCCTCTCTGAGTTTGATCTTCACTGATACCTTTTCCTTTTTATCCTCTTTCTTCTTGGCTTCACAGATTTTCTCTCTGTGGTTTCCAGCTATCTTTGTCATTTCTCTCTGTGACCCGCACCTAATCTGTGACTCTTCTCTCTTCTTTTTTATCCCATATCTTGCCTTCCCACTGGAATGGTTGGACAAGTCATGTCTTTGGTCAGCCATCTTGGACCTGAATTTTTCCACTATCATTTTAGTCATTTTTCATGAGTGTGTTCTTTCATAGTTGTCATCACCAGTATATTTGAGAGTTGATGAAATTTTCAACAGCAGTTACAAATAGGACAGGCAATATATCCTGAGATAGGCCTGAGGTGTTTGTCTTAGGAGGCTACCAGATAAGCAGGCCCTGATTTTGATTGTTCCAATAGGTTCAGCAGCCCCTAGCTGTTCCTGACAATGTTCCTCCTCAGGGTCAGGTGAGGAGGAAGTAGCTTTTCCTATTATCTATTTTCCCTGCTTCACTTCTGAACGTACAGTAGCTTCACAGCTTCTTTAAAACTCTTGAATGTTTTCATCACAGTTGCCCAGTTGCTTCTTTGATATTAGCAGTCCACCTCTCAACTCCTAAATCTCTAAGGGTCTTTCATGTCGTGGTTGAGAACCAAGAACTTGCAGGATTCAGATCTCTTGCTGTCTATATACCTATTCCTTGGGAGGAAGGTATTTTACCTTCATAGACATGTTTAACCCAAATTCATTTGATTTACATTTTACATGTGGGTGACCTAGTTTCTATAGTATTGCTAATTTGTATTGATTTTTTATTTTACCTTTAATTTGTCACCATGGTGGGCATGCCAACAGAATGTTTCCCGAGTACATTAAGGTAAGGAGGGACGAGTGTGAGGTGATGAAGTCATGAGAATTGAAACTACAATGATATCATGGAAACAGGGTGGGAGATATGAAAAACATTTCAATGGAAGGTAGACAGATGGGCTTGGTGACTTACTAGATAGAGGAAATAAATAATATCTGACATTTGAAGGAAGAAAATCTGGTTCTTTTTGGTTCCCCAATAATACCTAGCATCCTTAATAAAAAAGATTAGTGATACCTATAAGGCTTTGGACCAGGATTCCTGGGAAAACAGTGATGTTGCTGACTGACAAAGATGAACATTAGGATATTTCTTAGTGCTCGTTGTGCTTATGTCCTCATGTTTACCTATCATGAGAATTTAGCATTAAGCAATTACTAGCATTATTAGTCAGTGTGTAACTTAACAATTAGGGTTGTTGGTTTTGAAATCTTACCCTTTGGTAGAGAGGATCATCACAGATACTCTACTACTGAGCAACTTCTCTCTCAGTTTAAATGGACTCTGGTCTTGACTGCATCATAGCATTCCAGGCTGGATTCCCATGGCCTGGCCATGTACTTTCTAATGACTATGTGCTGTATTTTAAGTCAGCCGCTTATATGCAAAGAAAGGCCCTAAGGTCACAGTTAAACAGATGGAGATTTAAGTTCTTCAGATTGCTCAGTTCATATGTTTATTATTATCTATTTTTTAATTTAACAAGCATGCACATAGTGTTATGTGCCAGATATAATGATTAGATTTCCAGGAAACTAAAAAATTTTCATTTAATCAGTAATGATGTGCTATATGTTTGCAATGAAAAATAGTAAAATTATTGCAGTTCAAATAGGGGAAAGAATAGAAAGCAAACGCATACTTTTAAAACCTTATTATACAACTTAAGCATTTCATATACACTATTTAATTTTTTATTTCAAAATTTTAAGAGGTGCTATTTTTATATCAACTCTATTAAATAGGTGTTCTTCCCATTTTATATAGTTAAGGAGACTGAAGTTTAGAAAAGTTAAGTGACTTGCACCAAGACACATAGCTAGTGAGTGCTAGAGATGGAATTGCAACCCAGGCCTCTCTAACTCCAAAGCCTGTGTGCTTTACAGTTTGTCATGCAGGTACACTAAAAGCCCAACTTCACTGCTATGTGATTCATCCATGTAACCAAAAACCACTTGTACCTTTAAATCTGTTGAAATAAAAAAAAAATGAAAAAAGACAAACCCATATAATGAAATAAAATTAGTTTTTAAAAAGATTGATTATGAGATGACTATTTATCTTAAATTCTGATATTTGAGCAGAAATATGTTAGAGTTGTGGAGTAAGAATATAAAAATGTTTTGGGACATTCTAAAAGTAACTTCTGACTACATTCAGGGTGGATGTCACAGGCTCTTTCATTAATAAGTTACATTTCATTTCTAAGCACAATCACTTTCCTTCTTGGTATAAGGAACTCACTAGAACTACTTTCAATGCTTATCAGCTCTAATTAGGGTCATTTGGAGGGCTCATAATTGGAACAGAGAGTGAGATATTCCTTTACATAAATAGATAGGAATTGAAAGAAAAGAGGAAAGGTAGAAAGGAACTACAAAAAATGTGTACAAGGGAGTGAAATATCTCAAAGTGGAATTAACCAAGCTATTAGCAGCAAATGATGAAAGAAAATGGAAGAGTTAATACTTTGCACAATTATATGGAGGAGAAGAAAAGCTGTGGTAAGGGAGAGAGATTGCACACAAAAGTTTCACTGACTACAAGGAGGCATCACATTCTCATGACAGATAGTTTTCTAGAGAGGCTGAGGGATTGGTGGAAATAGATTCTTGTGTACTAACTGGTTCTCCCTTGTCCCATAAATTGTCTGTTTATTACTTGCAGGGCATCTATCAAGATAAGCAATACTTTTTAAGATTAAATGATCTGGCAAATAATTATTTTAAATAAGTTAATTTGGGGTGGCTTTTTTCACTGATGTTTAATTCTGTGTTTGACACAATTTGTTTTAATAGTATAAGTTAATTTTTACAGAATTGAATCATAGATGGGTTACTTAGATGTTCAGATTTATAACATTTGTGCCAATCACTGGAATGTAACATGCAATCTGAACTATAAAGTGCATCATTCAATGAAAAACTTTAAATACTCTTATCTATGATTGTACTTATCATTTCATACTCATTCAATATAAAATGTGTATTTTGCCCAAGTTGGAAATTCTGTTTCATTTAGAAAATGATGGGATAAATTTAATGTAATTTCATAGTCAAAATGCTTATGAAAATTTTGACGTATTTATTATAGATGGATGAAGTTGGAATCACTGAATATGTAAAAGGTGATAACCGCAAGTTTGAAATCTGGTATGGTGGGAAAGAAGAAGTTTATATTGTCCAGGTTGGTCATTTAAGAATTCTTTTAGAAACCAGAACTTGCATTAAGATTCAAAAGTCTGAATTTACAAACAAAAATAATTTTAGTCACACATCACAAACTTCCATTCCTTTTATGTAGGTCACTAAGATATTATTTGAATATTCTTTGTGACGTATTAAAATATTTTTTCTGGTAGCACATGTTTCCTTTAAATTGAGATATACCTGTGGTATTCTCTAGGGCTTCAAGTTTTCACAACTACGCTAGGAGACTTATCAACTAGTGCAGACAGCTTGGCAGGTACTTCTCTGTCCCTGTCAAGTTTACAGAGTTATGGAATTATAACCGTTCTCATTTCCTCATGTGCTCAACATTCACACGGTACCTGATTACAAGACAGGGGCATGTGATAATTTAGACTTGCTCCTTGCTTTTAAAGAACGTGAGTAAGGCCCTGGCCAGATGTGCTATAAGGTCCAACTTGTTTTCAGGAAAGGGGAGAGGAATCAGAACATTTCAAGAGGATGTTGTGATTTCAATAAATATTTGTATCACAACCTGTGTATTTGCTGTCATCTGTTGAAAATGTTCTGTGTTTTTTGTTTTAATTCTGTATAGGTAACTACAATCCATAGAAACATATATTCTTGGTTTGCTTAAGATACAATACTTGGTATCATTTAACAAACTTATCTTGTAAGTAGTGGGAGGATATTGAAGGAGGCTTTCATGTTATCAGTCACTAAGATTATTCTGCAATAGATTATCTTTTCAGAACTAGTAGAGCTTGTTTTATTTTATTAAAATTAAACATAAAAATATTTATATTTTAAAAAGAAGCCTCCTGCAAAGAAAAAATAAGTGGAATTATAGTTCACATTTTCACATAAGCATTACCATTCCATTATTTAAGGGCAATTTAAAAATAGTTTTGACTATATTATTTCATCTAATCTGATGGTTAATGATTTTATTCTTAGAAATTTTAAGAATCAAAAGGTTTGACTTTGATTATTGTGTTTTAGGGAGTAGATTATGTTAGATATACTTAATTACATTTGTTTTATTATAGAGCATCCATTTCAAAAGAAAACGTGTCCCCTCTTTCCTTCTTTTTGATCTTTAGGCTCCTAATGTAGATGTAAAGATGTCCTGGGTAAAAGAAATAAGAAATGTTTTGCTGAAGCAACAGGAACTTATGACAGGTAAATTCAAGCATGCATTCTTCAGAACAAGTAGTATAGTAACAGCTCATTAACTCAATTTTGTGTTGATTTTTGCAGGGAATGGGGCTTATATTTACTTTATACTATTTATAATGAAAGGGTTTGGTAAACTAGTAGGAGATTGAGATTCAGAGGGTTGTATAAACTAGTTTGGAGAATGAACTTTACACAAGAAAATGAACCCTGTTGTTTGAGAAGCAACACAGTGAACTGGCTATTAATTCCCAGTCCTTCCCAGGAGATGACTGCTTAGCACCTCAAGTAATCAGTGCTTGATAATATTGGGATGAGAGCTAGTCCCAGTTCTAAACTTGGACATCTTGAATAAAATATTACATGGTTTGGACCTTTCCAAATTCCAACTTCATATGGTTCTTCCTTCTGGTTATTTCAAATCAGTGAGGGTTAACTCTAATGGCAATGATGTGTGTGTGTGTGTGTGTGTGTGAGAGAGAGAGAGAGAGAGAGAGAGAGAGAGAGAGAGAGAGAGAGAGAGAGAGAGAGAGAGAGAGAAAGTCATTGGCCTTCAAGGAAGTAAGAAGTCTAGCTTCTGGATAATGCTTATATAAGCTTTGTTTTATTTCATAGTTAAAAAACAAAAGCAACAGAATCAGTTAACAGAACAGGATCAGCTTTCTCCTCAGCAGAATGATGGGTAAGTGATTATTCTTTGAGAAATGTCACTCCTGAAATCTTCTGTTTTCTGTATGTAACATGAAACAGTGTAATTAAAGTATCTCAGACAAAAAACATTAGTAATTTTAGCAATAATTCATCCAATTCCGTAAACACATATTTTTCTCAGTTCTAGCCTTGTATTGTAGCCTGATAGTCCCTAACTACCCCATGGCCTGATTTTTAAACATGATTACAAATGCTTTGTTTTAAACATGTCATTGGAATAGTTGCATGTAGGCAGACAGGAAAGGTGGCTGCACTCATGGCTTTCTCTTAAAAGTATTTTTGGTCACCTTTGATTTAATTAGAGAAAGAGAGTTGTAAGAATATGGGAACACTGCAGATGAAAGACTGGCTCACCGCTTTGTAGTCCCTTGATGGAGACCACTAGTTGCTGACTTGACCTCTCTTTCTATGCAGTTGAAGAGAAAATATGGATCTTGAGAGGGAACTGAGTCTAGACACACCAGGAAGTCTTTAAGAAAGGCAGCAGTCCGGCCGGGCGCTGTGGCTCACGCCTGTAATCCTAGCTCTTGGGAGGCCGAGGCGGGCGGATTGCTCAAGGTCAGGAGTTCAAAACCAGCCTGAGCAAGAGCAAGACCCCGTCTCTACTATAAACAGAAAGAAATTAATTGGCCAACTGATATATATATATAAAAAAATTAGCCGGGCATAGTGGCACATGCCTGTAGTCCCAGCTACTCGGGAGGCTGAGGCAGAAGGATCACTTGAGCCCAGGAGTTTGAGGTTGCTGTGAGCTAGGCTGACGCCACGGCACTCACTCTAGCCTGGACAACAAAGTGAGACTCTGTCTCAAAAAAAAAAAAAAAAAAAAAGGCAGCAGTCCTATATGATAGCACACCACTGCTGGTTTAGAGATGTGGTCTTTGTATTCTGCCTCTAGAAATTTTAAAAGGTGGAGTTTCCATAGTACATTTGCATATATGCAGAAAGAATTCCCAAACTGATTCCAAAGGCCTGGCACAGAGATTCACCATACACTGTGTGCTTGCTATAGGGATTATTGAATGACTTATTAGAAATAACATATTTTCCATTGCTGCACATCATTTTTCTGAGGTATCTAAAATCAGATGCAATGTGGTGGTTCATTTGTAGCTTTAGAAAACCATTTAAAGGTCACGGAGAAAGTCTTTATCTTCTAGGGTTCACGATACTCAATCTTTTATCATATAGGAGTAAAGTCTTTAGATTTCATGCAGTAATTGACTTAGTAGTAGCTGATGCACACTCAGCAGTATGAATCAGTTGAAGGTTTCATCTTCATTTATACACTCCTTACCTAATTTGTTAAGGTTAGAAGTCTGCAGAGCAACAGAGGTTTTACACAGTATACCTGCTTTAGGTCTAGAAGGGAGTAGTTTTTTCCTCACATAATAAAGAGAGAACTTGCCAGCTTGGATCCTGGGATTTAAGCTTTGGTATATTATAAGCTATTGTCACACAGACCTAAATAGGGAGTATCAGCTGTTTGGATTCTCAGAGCATGTTTTTAACACATGGGATTGGTGAAAAAAATACCATTTTACATTTCTTTTTACTCTTCAACTGTACAAAAGCTTACTTATTTTTATACATCACTCTTTCAGAAAGCAGCAGGGAACTTTTATAAGTGTCGAGGAAACCGAATCAGAACACACTAGTGCTATGGTGGAGGTCTGTGAGGCAATCGTGTCAGTTCAGGCAAAAGCAAATACAGGTATGTGTCATGGTCATCCCAAGATGAGATTCATGGCTGTGCATCTGTCATTGTAAATTTGGAAAATCTACTCATCTGGTCTTTTTGTATAAAGAAAATAAAGTTTACCCGTTTTTATAAGGCTTTCATGTCTTGCATATGCAAGACACTCTGGTGGGCACTACAGAACAGTGGTTGTGAAAGTATCGTTCCTGGACCAGTGACATCAGTGTCCCTTGGGAATTTGTATGGAAGGCAAATTCTTTGGCTCCACCCCAGACCTTCTGAATCAGAAACTCTGGTAGTGAGGCCCAGCCACCTGAGTTTTAACAAGCTCTCCAGGTGATTCTGATGTATGCTCAAGTTTGGGAATCCCTGCTGTAGAGGATATAGAGATGAAGAAAACACATATGCTGGCTTTAAGGAACGCATGCTTTACTTACCCCCTTGGTTTAATGAATAGAGAAGAGTCATTTGTAGCTGGAATATTTATTGTTCCTATGTGAATTATATTTGAAATGATTTTAAACAATTTATTTAATTCAACATATATTAACATAACATGACCTGTATGCTGGGAATTATGCAAAGTGCTGGGCACACAGTCTAATTAGGATACACTCAGATGTCTCATGAAGCTAGGAGGGTGGAAAGATAGTTCAGTAAACAATTAAAAGTATATTGGGTGTTATAGCAGGGAAGTACGAAGTACTATAGAAGTATATAATGGGATTACCTAAACAACTCTAGGATCAACAGCATAGACATCTCTGGAGAAATGCCTAGCACAGTGCCTGATACTTAATACTTAAATATGATTGCTCTTAACCTTAAAGAATTCTCCACAAGTTGAGGAGAAGCAACTAAGTTGCAACTCAGTTTTCAGTTATCCACTTAAGGGTCACTTCCCCCAAGTCACCTATGCTTTGGCCTTCAAAGCAGTACAGAGAGAGTATAGATAGTATTAATGCCCTCATTTGACAGGTGAGGACACCAAGTTAAAGAAAGTTGACATGACTTTTCCAAGATTTTATGAAGAGTTTAATGTGACCAGGATGAGATTCTATTAATTTGCTGGTTACATTTGATTGCTTAATCCAATTTTTTCAAATTCAATTTTTTAAGTATTATAGTTAGTTTTACTTCTTACCTTGTGGTAAACTAGTACCATTAAGTAACTGCCACACTCCACGTTTTTCTTATAGTTTGGACTGAGATGTCACAATCTGCAGAAATCCCTGAAGAGCCTGAGGAATGGTCAAGCAACTATTTCTACTCTACTTATGATGACAATGAAGAAGAAGATAGGCCCCTAATGGTTAGTAATGATATATTACATTAAAACTCTTCAGGCAGTTTTATTGATGAAATAGGTAGAGCCCATAGCAGCAATCTTTAGTCAGTATCCTTGAGGTCATTAGGAGTATTCCATGGCCAAACAATTTGAAACAAATCTAATTATGAACATTCAGGAAACACTTCTCTCTTTAAGTAGAACTTCTCTGACCTATACATGGAGCTTCTTCTGAAGTTGGTGAAATAGTCAATATTTCCAAATCTCTATAAATTCACCAAATTTATCTTTAGTTGAGCTTCACCACTGTGGTTTCCATCTAGGCATGTGAAATAAAATTAGAGAACAAAGGAATTTCAAATATACTTTAAAAATCAGTTTAAATTCCAGGTTACAAAATATAGGAAATAAACATTACACATTAAAAACTGTTTAATAACATCTGGGGAATATATTTTAGTGGTTTCTCAAAAAATGTGCTAATGATTTCGAATCTCAACATATTAGTGCAGGAGGTCGCTTTAGAGTAGAAGTAAATGTTTTATAGAAGAAATAGTTTGCAAGTTGTTAGGATACTGGTGGGTTATTTGAGGGGAGTTAGCACTGTTTGGGGGTAAATCCCTACATTTCTAAAGTCAACAGCTTGGAGTGGGGGAATGATGCTTGGTACTGAACTGCTCCTTGGTGCCCTTCAGAGGAACCAATTCAATTTGACAGGTCTGTTGGTGTAAGAGAATAATGACATGGATGATCACAAAGCTGCACGGCATTGACTCTGCAATGTTTTCTTTAAAAAAGTAACAGATATCCTTTCTTCTAACAATGTGATGACCATAATACATATTTGTATGGTAGTTTATAGTTTATCAGGTGATTTCTCAATATCACAGTATAAGATAGGGTAGGCTTTAATGCCTCCAGTTGACAGAGGAGGAAACTGAGACTTGGAGCTGGTAAGAGATTTATTCTGAGTTAATTGTCTAGACCAGCAGTTCTCAAACTTTTTAATGAAAGAAGCCTTTACATTTTTAAAAACTGAGAACCCCAAAGAACTCTGGTTTATGTAGGTTACCTCTGTTGATATTTACCATAGTATACAGTAAAACTAAGAAGTACATAATTTTTGATTTATTCATTTACAATATTAATAAACCCATTGTAAGTTTATATAAACAGAATTTTTGATAAAAAGTTACATTTTTCAAAATAAAAATTAATGAGAAGGGTGGTATTTTAAATACTTTTGTAAATCTCTTTAATATTTGGCTTAGTAAAAGACAGCTGAATTCTCACATCTGTTTTTGCATTCAACCTGTTGTGCTGTTGCACATCAGATAGCTTCTAGAAAACTCCACCATACACTTGTGAGAGGATGAGACTGAAAAAGACAAATAATGTCTTAATGTACATTGACCTTGGAGACCCTTTGAAAGGGTATCAGGAACCCCCAACTAGTCTCCTATGCTTTGGGAACCACTGGTTTAGACTAATAAAAAGAAGTAAATTTTCTTAATGTTATCTGAGAATGGGTAGTTGCTCAGATGTGAGAAAAAAGTCAGAAGAAGCCAGTTTGTGTTTAAACATTTGCTGTAGATGATCTATGAAGGGATTGTCAAGAACTCAGTCTTTTTTTATTTCAAAATATTAAGGGAGTACAAATGTTTTTGTTACATAGATACTTTTTATAATGCTTATTAACATCAGGGCTTTTAGGGTGCCCATCACCTGAATAGTGAAGAACTCAATCTTAAGCATTTTTCCAGCTATGGTATCATAAAATAAAGTACATAAGCAAAATTGATTAATGGTTTAATAACAGGGTATGGAAATGTAGAAAACCTATTAGTTTTTCTCCCTTCTTCTAATAATTATCTGAGTTGTGCTACAAATGTAAACATACAAAAGAGCAATACAGTGCATTTCATATACCTCCCTCCCTGCCCCAAAAAGAAGGGACTAGTGACTCTTTTGGCCTCACTTTATCAAGTTATCAAGTTAAAAACTAAGCAATAATGGGTACTGCTTCCCTTGTAGAAACCCGTGTCAGAGATGGCTCTCCTATTTTGATGAAGCTACTATGCAAATGGCAAGTAGCTCTTTCCTGCCTGCTCCTCAGCCTATTTGGAAAAAGTACTGCTCAAAAGACGTTCAGCCCAAATGATGTGGATGTTGTTTTCAGGTTAATTCCCCTGGACACACAAACAATCAACAGCACATAATTATTTCTTTTGTTTCATTTTATAAAAATTTTAATTATACTCTTTCCTTTTAAAATCATGTATTCAATGTGTAAGATATTGTGCAGGAAAGAGTCCCATCTCAGAATACTTTTGGACTTGAAAATAATTTCTTTATCTATTTTATAACCAAATGCAATCAGTGTGCCTTGTATTATTTAGCTTATTAATGAATTAAGTTAAAATTCTGGCTGCAAAATGACTAAGGTCAAGTAAAGCACAACATTAGGCTTTAATATGCTTTAATTGGACCCAGAGCTTTTGTGCCCATTATTTTAACCTGTGTAAAACAATGCAAAGCCCAGAAATTATTTTGGGGGCGTGAGTAAATTTTGTTCAGGGCAACTGTCTTTTGTATGTGCCAATATAAAATTTTCATGAAAATAGTTTATAAATAAGAGTATTTAAAAATTAATATTTTCATGCTTGTTTTCTCTGGATTTATGCTTATAATTCATGTAACAAATTGTGCTCTATTATTTTCTGTACATTTCACGTTGTAATTCTCTTTTTTCAAATAAAAATTAATTCTTCAGGTTAAATAAACATATGTTCTGCTCTTTTTTTTTCATCACAAACTGCTCCATGACTGTCTGTCCCTGCAAAGCTGCAGCTACCACATTTGCCTTTGAAGTAAAGAGTGAATTTTTCATGTCACAGAGCAGGCAGTTATACAAGTAGTTTTGCAGTCAAGTTTGTAATGTAATTTTTCAAAACAACTTTATAGTCTCCAGGCAAATATAAAGAAAGTCCTAGCAGACTGCAGGAAGAGAGGCTCAGAAGATCTGATTAGAAATGGAGATGTCATTCAGCTTCTCCATGAGGATGCTGAGGGTCAATGGTAGGTACGTTTGCAATGCTGTGATGATCTCCAGCTGGAGCACATAGATAGCTAATCCAATCATCTGCTTTATCTGTATCTTTGTTATACAGTCTCCAAAAGCAGAAATATCACAACAATGGCTTTCATTTTCATTGCTTCAGCCATGCTTGTATAGCTCACTGAAAGGAACATTAACCTTTGGTGAGTGAAAGATGCTTTGAAAGAATGACACACTATGTGTGTGCATGTTCTTTTGTGGTTTACCTTGGGCTCAGATGTTTTAGCTGGTACATCTGGGCTTTGTAATGGCTACAGATCACATTCTATTTGGTCATTTAAGTCTTTCATTAACCACATATTTAATGAATGTCTCTACTATGTGTCAGGGACCATGCTTTGCTACTTGACAACATAGCCACACTTCTCTATCAGTTAAAATATTGACTTTTTAGTCTTATCATTCATTCTACCTTTATGCTTTGACTTTTTGTAGCACCAATTGCAAAGATGATTCTGGCAAATATATTGTTTAATTATGAGAGAACCTAAAGCAGGAAGGAAATATTGTTTGGAGGAAGATTGAATGAAGTTTCCATAATTCTTTTTTTTTTTTTTTGAGACAGAGTCTCACTTTGTTGTCCAGGCTAGAGTGACGTCGTGGCCAGCCTAGTCACAGCAACCTCAAACTCCTGGCTCAAGCGATCCTCCTGCCTCAGCCTCCCGAGTAGCTGGGACTACAGGCCAGTCCACCATGCCGGCTAATTTTTTTAATATATATATCTTGGCAATTAATTTCTTTCTATTTATAGTAGAGACGGGGTCTCGCTCTTGCTCAGGCTGTTTGAAC